CCAATGAGTTCTCCCTCAAAGGCCAAAATAGGGCTGGAAAGGTCTCTGCCCCCTCCACCTGCCTTTTTACTGACAGAGCCTGAAATACTGTGGTTGTCTAATAACAGCCACTGAGGGAATCTGTTGCTTAAAGCCACAGGTGCTCCTTTTATCATTTTTGGATTTTTAAGATGCTCAGTGTACTTTTTTTTTAGATTTTACATTTTTTCCTGCAAACCTAGGGCCCTTTGCAGGTTTTTAGAAAGATGTGTCTTGCTCATTCACAGCTCCAGTCAACAGATTTAAGTATCAAAAGATATCCTGACTTCGCTATTAGAATATAAGATAATGTTATCAGTGAACATATTTTTGCAATGGCTTTCATTGAGTAAAATTATGTGCATGGAAACTGCACGCCTTGATATAGTTATTTACTATGGAAAATTTTGATTTGGGGATTCTTCTGCCTGAGCAATACATCATCATCAATCCAGTGTCAGCAAGTTATTTCAATTTTCTGAACAATTTTCTATTTAAGTACATGTGATAATCATTATCAAAGGAGGAGAAAAATGGGCAATTCCAAAAAGATTATGCGGACCATGACACGCTAATAATATTTCAGTTAATGAATTCACAGAGCTTCTCATTAGCTAAGTGAAAGAAATATTGGCTGGCAATTGGCAAAATATCAAAAATATTTTTTACTAACAGTGCTCTATTTTAGTAAAGAATATTCCTCTTTGCACAGAGCAGAACAATACTACTGCAGCAGAATGGTGCCAAGCCCTTTCATAAGATTCCCAGAACTTTCCACAAACGGAACTGCACACCTGCATGGCCAGGAATAGCAGTGAATGTACCAGCAATCAACAGTCACTGAATATAACACATGTATCACGTGGTACATAAATATTGCAGTTCCGCACATACACGATAATATGAAATGGTTTGGATCATTACTATGTTACTATTATTGAATCAGTACTATATCATATGTCCTTTTCTTGCAGTTTGTAATTTGTTAGGAAAGACATTGCTGTACATGTAATATGAACAATATCCACAATGGAAAACATGTAGAAAAACATGTAGAAAATTGGTGACCCCCCCCCCAGATTCTGCAACAATTATTCTGATAAGAAACACATTTGAGTTTATACTTTACTGAACTAGTATTTTTTTTATACTGTCCATGGGGTTTTCTTGGCAAAAATACTGGAGTGAGACGGGGACGGCAAAGGATGAGATGGTTAGACAGTGTCAGAGATGCAACAAACATGAAATTGAGCAAACTTCAGAGGACGGCGGAAGACAGGAAGGCCTGGCGTGATCTGGTCCATGGGGTCGCGAGGAGTCGGACTCGACTGTGCGACTGAACAACAACAAAAGAACTACTATTTTAATAAAGTGCCTTATTACAATAACCCCCCCCCCAGAAATTAAGATCTAATCTGAATTCTGAAGTGTACTGTAATACTCCAAACTACAGTACTTTTATATATTCATTCAAAACATCTTTTGCTATTTTTTCCTCGAGTTTTAACTTTTTAAAATGCAAATTCCCAATTAATTTGAGAATTTCTATTATAGCAGATAGCACATTTGGCAGCCACTGTAACATATCCAGTGAAACAACAGCTAAAGGGAGCCAAAAAACGTATACAAGTATAAAACCCATTTCCCTTGGCTTCCATTATTTGCTAACACCTTGTTTCTAGCATCCTGTGCCAGATCTGATTTATAGAACACTCACATTAAAAAGTGGGTGGCACTGCTATGAACCAAGTACAAGAGCTGCCTCCTCCTTGTCTGTTCCTAACATTGGTAGTAGTCTCACTGTCAGGGACCCTGAAAGAGGAGGATGCAGCCCAAGCAGCCTGCTTCTGAGAACTTACATCAGCTGCACTGCTGCCAAAAGACAGGCTGAACCACACAGAAGGGAACTCAATGCAACCTGATTAACTGATGATCACTTCAACTGGCAATGTACAAGCTGATAGAAAATAGACTCACTTAAAAAAAATCCATGAAGGCAGGTACCATGCTAAATAAATGAATGAGTGTCTCATAACTTCCATAGCTAATGTTTCAGTAAATTATTCCTTTATAATTATTCCTTCTCTTTAAGCACTGTATTCTTAAAATTTAGAAATGAAAAATTCAGAAACAAACAGACAAACAAACAATAACACTATTGTTGCTAGGGTATATTTTACCTTTAATTACACCTATATTATGTGGGGAAAAGCAGTGTTAATGGAGGAAAATCAAAAGGGCACTAAGTATTACAACAAAGGTAAAGGTAAAGGTTTCCCTTGCTCTACACATTAATATTAAAACATACAAACATGCAGTTAAAAAAAGTATTAGAACTCGGGAATAAGAGCAAAAATCCACTTACAAACAGTGATCATAAAATCCTATGTTAATAATCATGCATTTGGTTTATGTATACTTGTTAATATTCAGTTTCAAAAATTAGTAACATTCTTGAATAAATATCTGAATCTTATAGACTATCAACCTGTCAATCAACAGGTATTATACACACACATGCAAAATAACATTCAACAAAAAGTGCTTTAATATTGACGATGTGTGAAACTTTGCAAGAACATTAGGCGTTACCAATTACTGTTTAATACTTTTTACAGTAACAATGAATTGGTTCCAAATGCCCTGAATGGAAAGAGTTTGCAAAGTCTTTTCCACTTTCTTCTTCCTTTAGAACTTCCCTTTACCCCGGCAAGCCTTTGGTTGGGGGTTTGGTGACTCTCCTGAACAATATGCCTCAGTTTTGTGCAAGTAGAGACCATTCTGCTTGTGTGGACGGCAGTAATTTTTTCCCTGGTCCTCCCTGCTTTCTGCAAGCTGTACGGGAGAAGCATGGCCAAAACTTACCTCCATTGGCAATTGAGGTCCAACCTGCAGTATTTTGGGGGTGATGGTGTGCACCTCCCCGAGTGCAGCATGGACATCTGGTTCCATTGAGTCCGGATGCCTGCTGGAATGGCTGCAGGTTTAGGAGCTTTGGCGGAAGTGGGGCACAGTGTTCCCACGTCTTTGGTGATTTGGGCATTGGAATGGATCCTTTGGGGGGGAGGCCTGGCCTGCATGCATGCCTCCCCCATTTTGGGGGCTCCCATAAGGGGCCTTGGGGTGTGGAGTCACTCAGCCGCATGCCCAGGTGGGGGCTGCCAACTGGCTTCCATCTCCAGGTGGCAAGGGGACCAGATGGAGGCCAGTGCTCACATGTGTCCCGGTATCCTGTCACTCCACAGGCAATCCCCCAGCAGGCGACCTGAGGAAGGGTTCCAATGGGCAGCAGGCAGGTCCCTTGATGCTTGGATCTGTCCCTGTGCTGTGCCATTGCCCCTTTGCTTGTATCAATAAATAAGCTGTGGCCATGTTCTCCGAAAATGGATTCTGTGCACGTTTGATTCCTTCCACAGCCAAAACTAACTTCTGCCAGCAACTGCAGTCCAGGAGGGGGGGCGGAGGCCAGAAGAAGGCAGGCCTGCCCGTGTTGTGTCTGCTGGCAGGGTGGAGTGGGTCGTATCTCCGCAGCCTGCCTCATCAGGCTGCGAGTTGCATCATGGGAGCAGGGGGAGGGCCCACGGAAGCTATCTGGGGAAGCCCATGCTGGGCCCTGGGCTCTTCGTTGCAGTTTGCTGGCTCCTGGATGCCTAGCTTGCCAAGCAGTGCCATGGAAGAGGATACAGATGGTGCACATGGTACCTTATGGTTACAGCAGCAACACTCCCAGTTGCACATACTGCTCAATGCCATTAAGAAAAGGGAGTGCAGGTGGCTGTTGGGTAGTGGGAAGGGTTTTGAGTAGGCACATGAAAAATGAACAAGCAGGTAGGAGGGTAGAGGGGTGGGGGCAGGAAGGAGGTATGAATGAGAGTCCTGGATGTGGGGAGAAGGGGGCCCCTAAGCACTCTCTAACCTGGACCAAGCCTTGGGGGTGGTTCCACTGCTGGCATATGTGCCCTCCTTTGGCTAAGGTTAATGCACTTGGTGCATCCCTGTCCTACCCCACAGCCTCAGTTTAGAAGTCCTCCTCCTTTTGCAGATTCTCCTCTGGAGCAGCTTGGATCAGGCATCCTCAGCAGCAACCTCCCTTCCCATTTGTACAGAGTGCTGAATGTCACACGCCCTATAGGTCTTCTTACCTCTAATGAGAACTCTGGCCCTTGTGATAATTGGGCATTTCTGGGGATTGCCCCCCACATCATAGCTTTCAATCAGTTGCACAAGCACTAAGGCTTTATAAGCATCTCTCTGTGCAGTGGCTGCCCAATAGGCAGTGACCTCCTCTCCAGACTAGAGCAGCTGCCAGCTTGGGGTAGATAAGTCCCCAACCTCTGAAACTTAAGTTATTGACAATGACTTAGTGTGCATGCAAAGGTTATTTCTGGATGGCAGCTTTCTGTGCTCCTGGCTGACTTTGTAGTGAACACCTGGAAGGCATGAGAAGTAACTCAGGGACAGACAAATATGTCTTTCACCAAAATACATGCATTCGCACTAAGAAAGCAATGATAGGGATTGACTGTCTCTTTCTACTTAGTAGACTAGACGGGGACTAGTTTTCTGTGAAGCACTGAAGAGCACAACCGGAGAGGACCAGAAATGTTGAATATATACCAGTCTCCAGAATTAGGGGCACTTGAATGAGATATTCACATAATACAGACACACTGTACCCAGCCCAGCTAAAAATGATCATAAGATCATGGATTTCTTGTCACTGTAGGCCAATTTGAAATGACTATGTAAGTGAAAATTGCTAAAGCATAGCTTTTCTGGTAAAAGCAGATGTAAGCAATTATATGAATATATCATACCCAACTTCTCTTAAACATCAACATTACTGACATTTTTAAGAGCATTAGTTGCTACTTAAAAACCAAACCAAACCACTTCCTAGGTAAAATCACATTTATATAGTTAGATAAATCTGGACAATTTTTAAAATTTAAGTGAACCCTCTTTATACATACCCATCTTACCTTCATCCATAATTGTTACTGCCTCCTCTGTTATTTGACTTCCAGAGCCAATGGATGTTTTTGCATAGAAGTAAAACTTGTATCGAGTGCTGTAATTTAAGTTGCTTATTATCACGGTAGTCTCATTGGCTGGAATACTGATCTCCTCCAAGCGACCTAATTCATGTGTGCTATTAACTGTCATTGTAAGATAGTACAAAGAATAAAGTTAATATCTAAGTTGGGCCTTACATTATGTAATAACAGATGCTGAATCAAAAAGCTTTATGCCAGATGCTGCAGTCCTTTTCTAATCAGAACATACCAGAATTTTATTGTGTATATAGCCAAAGGCCATCACAATACAGAATTAGGATAATAAAAAGAAAATAAGTCTAATCATCCATAGGTAAAACAGCGATTAAAAAGAATTTTTGCACCAATAAATATGGACCAGTTATAAACAGTAAAATTGTAAAATAATAAATCCACTTAGTCATAAAACGGTTAATTTTCTGAAGCTGCAGTCTTAGCCCTGATTTTTTTGGCGGTCAAGGTGAAAAGAGACACTTTTTAACTGACGAGCGGATCAGTATCAGATAATAGAAAGACCAGCTTGTCAATGTCAGAAGAAAATTTTTGTCCTGTTAGCAGATTATCAAGAAATTTAGATCTAACTGCTGTATACATAGGACAAAACAGTATGTAGTGAAGAATGTCCTCTGGGACTGAGGCAACCCGTACAAGAACGTAAGGCCAGCGGTATTTGAGACTATCTCCCCGTGAGTAGAGCCATTGGTATTGTCTGAAAACGTAAGGAAGTGCCTTTCTGAGATTTTGAGATGTAATATTCACTAGGTAAGGAGATCTATCATGATCTCTTTTGAATAACTTAAACCAAGGGGAGAATTTAGACCTAGAGTTGTAAAACTGCCCAATAAAGCACCACATTTATAGATCCAGTTTCATAAGTTGGTGCCAATATTGAGAGCCCCCAACAAATTGTCTGGAATAGAATAGTAGGCAAGTATGTTGTTGTAACATGTAGACTAGAATGTGTCTCTACGTGACATTAGTTGAAAGCATTGTTTGCTAAATATGTTGGAAAAGGCAGTATTACCTTTATTCCAGGATTTGAGTAAAGCAACGCAAGGAGTCATCTGATGAATAAGTTTTGAATTGATTCCAGGCTGGAGATTATGTAGTCCTTCCAGCCCCAGACCTCTATGCCATAAAGAAGATGGAGGATTGCCTTATGAGTAAATACATTTACTGCTGGATCTACAAGGGATCTACCTTTGGTGTGATAAAATCTCAGAATTGCACCTATTATTTTTTTAGAAGTTTTAACAGTATCCAAATGTATTTTCCAATTTAAGGTCTCACTGAAGGTCACTCCCAAATATTTAAAAGAGCTGCATTGCTTAATAGCCGTTCCATGAATATTCCAAGAAAACTTTCTGGGCAGTTTTCTAAAGACCATAACCTTGGTCTTGTTATAGTTTATATCAAGAGCCTCCTCTTTACAGTATACACCAAGTTGGTGTAGCAGCCTTTTTAATCCAATTTGTGTAAGAGAAATTAAAACCATGTCATCTGCGTATAATAAAATTGAAATCTTCTGATGACCAAATGACGGAGCGACAAACTCAGGTACTGAGAGCCTATGAACTATATCATTTATGTGCAGGTTGAAAAGCAGGGGGGCAAGAACACATCCCTGCTTAACCCCCCTAAGGATTGGAATATCTTCTGTCAGGGAACCTGAAGTGCCCAGTCTAATCTTGGCAGAAATATCTGCATGTAATTCCTGAAGAAGAAACAGCAAGCGTTTATCTATATTTGTGTTGGCTAGCTTCTTCCAGAGGCAATTTCTAACTATAGACTCAAATATGGCGGCCACGTCTACAAATGCTACAAAAAGGCCTTTGGTGGGACCATTAGTCCCCGAAAGGGCTAAATGATAAAGGTTTTGGCAATGCTCAACTGTGCTTTGTCCCTTTCTAAAGCCAGCTTGATTAGGATATATTATATGATTAGAGGTTTCCCAATCCTCCAACTTGTGCAACAAATATTTACTGTAAAGTTTTGCAGTAATGTTCAACAAGCTTATGGGACGATAGTTTTTTGGATCAGCCTTATCACCTTTCTTATGGATTGGAAGGAACTACAATGCTCAGCTTCCATCCAGAGGGGAAAATGCCTGTTTCATTGATCTGGGTAAAAACCTTGGAAAGCACTGGTGACCACCAATCAGGAATAGACTTGAACAATTCTCGAGGAATAAAATCCTCCCCTGGAGATTTCCCCACAACTAAAAAAGTGATGAGACCTTCAACCTCAGATTCAGTGACAGGGGGCCAATCAGGTAGTGCAGAAAATTCAGAGGAGGAAACCTGCCTCTGTAAACCATCAGTCAGAGGTGGGGATGAGGACACTCAAAAATGTTACTAAAATGTGTGTACCAGTCCTTTCCTGAGATTTGGGCTTTGAGTTGAAGAGCAGGTTTGCCAAACCCAAAGGAGACAAGTTCCCAAAAGCGCATCTCTCTTTTCTCTGTAACTGCCAGGGCTAATTCATGCCACAAATGCTTGGCATGCTCAAAGTTTTTTTGTTAGAGGAGACTTTTGTATTTGGATCTTTAAAAAGCCAATTGTGCTACAGATGTTTTATCTTTACAGTAATGAGTTAAGTGTGTGCATTTGCTTAACACTTTCCTGGACAATTTGCATTCCTGGTCAAACCACCCACTGCTATAAGAACATTTAGATTTTAGAGGTCTGTTTGTTTGAGAGCATGGGTTTTTGTGAGTTGATAATCTCTTAAAAAAAATTGATAGAATCACTACCAGACTGCGGTAATATCTGACGCCGGGACCACAAAACATCATTTGTCAGAACCTGAGCCTGATCTGTGGATAATTGGTCTGACCCCTTAATTCTCCTGGCCCCAGGAAAGGTATTGTCTAAAGAATCTAAGGCGAGTTTAGCCTGTTTAAAATTGAGAAGAAGTCTCAAAGGACAATGGTCACTCTCAACTCTGCTGCCCACTTGAAACCTATCCACTAGATACAGAAAAGTAGGCAAAATGGCTATATAATCAATTGTACTGGCCCAGTAAGAGGACAGGTAAGTATAAGTACCACCAGAAATTTCGTACCATGCAAAACACACAGATTATAAAGAGAAAGCAACTCCAGTAAACATAGTCCAGACTTGTTGATGACTGAATCTTGAGAAGATCGATCAAGAAGAAAGGCTTGTTCAGCTATCATAGTCTTGGCATTGGCCGACAGATCACGAGAGCCAGAGCCAATCCTGGCATTAAAATCACCACAGAGAACAATCTGGGCATTAGGGTAGCGACTAATCACGGATTCAAGAGAATCAGATAATAGCTCCCAGAATGTTTTTTTGTCCTGTGATGGGAACCTAGGGGGGCTGTAGACATTGGTAAGTATAAAAGAGCCAGTTTCTTGACCTTGGCCTTTTCTAATCCATTTAGAGAATTATTCAGTTTTTGACATGAAAATGGTTTACATAGGCTAGATCCTGCTGTAATATTTTTTCTTTTCGGAGACTCCTTATATGTAACATCTGTAAATGCACCTCTCTGTAGTGTTTTAAGGTGATGTGTGTTATGCTGCCTCCTTGCTTTCCTTAGCATTTCCTACCTATTTTTCTGCCACCAAAGGCTCTTGCCATAGAATTTTGAGTTGGACCCAAAATACAGGACTGCTTAGCTATATGTGGTAGAATGACAGCGCAGTCAGGCTGTGAGGTAAAAGTGGATCCTTTACTCTAAATAAAGCAGTTGTTTTCTCCTAAATGTAAATATAGGAGAACAGTGTAAGTTTCAGTAAAGTTCCTAAGAGTAATGGTGCAGAAAAGTACAGTTAGGTCCCGGTCACATGGGCCGGATATCGCAGGGGGGAGGCATGGCTAATTGCCCCGGCGCAGTTTGATCTGCGATTACGCGATCACACGTGCCAATGGCACACCACGGGTCTTTCCCTCTGCGCCGGTGGGTAAACGAGGGTAGCGATCACACGACAATCCTGCAGAATGGCAAAGAAGCGGCACGGCGCGATCACACCAGCAATGGCTAAGCGCCACTGCCGTGACAAACGGGGTCATTTTTTTAAAAGCCGAAACGGCACTTTCGCTTTCCTCTTTGTGCACATGCGCCGTTGGGTGCTTGTGCACATCTTGTGGAGACTTGGGGGGAAAAAACCTGTTTGCGAAGGGACATGGGTGGGCGCCAGATGCCACCACCGGAAACGCGATCAGACGCCAGCCCTTGCCCCCCGATTTCCGGAAACTAGTACCTCGGAGGTACTAGTTTTTAATTCTGCATCTTCGGCGGGAAGCCTCGGGTTCGCCACGGGAGCTCTACGCTTCCCAGATGTTGTGGAGTGATCTCGCCCGGAAAATCCGCCTATCTTCCGTCTCTGTAGTGTGGCTAATGCTCCGTGTGATCGCAGCCTTATTCTTTCTCTCACAAAGGCTTATTTTTTCATGCCACTTAGGCTAATACTTCCACAAAGAACACAGATTTCTTTCAGACTCCACACTTTACCCACTCAACTCTCTTCCCACTACACACTGAACAAACTCTCTCTCCAAATCAGTCAACTGTGTCCCCCAAGGGTACAGCTACCATCCAATCACAGCACACTTCAGTCACAAATCTAGCCCCCCTCTTTTTTTACTCTGTAGGCCTACATTTTCACCCACAGAAAATTACATATAAAACTTCACATTAAATCACAGAAATAAACACAAACACACACACAAAAATCTACATAGCAAAACATTACACTCCCCAATTAAGATTTTCCTCTATATCTCATGCTAGGGCTGTGAGAAAGACGGCATATAAATGAAGTAATAAATAAGGCAATTCACTTTTTTTTAAGCAAGGCCATCTTGGCATGCTTGCTATAAAGTGGAACTAGGCTTGGAGGAAGAGCAGACATGATGTTGACCTCTCTCATCTGGGACCATGGCTCTGCCTCCCCTCCCCAGCTTGTGTAGTCCTGCTCAGGGACTACACAAAGGACAGACTTCTCTTCCCACCAATTATATAAGGGGCCAGTGTAAGACAAGGCCCATTTCCAATTCCCCAAGTAACGTTTGGATATAATACAAAGAATCATATACCTGATTAGCATAACACAGTATATGGGGAAAGGCATAAGGAATTTCTGTGACACGTCATTCACATTGCTTGCCAAAGTGAGTCGTGGGAATGATGTTCAGTTTCACCACACCATTATATATCCTACTAGTTTGGTGTGAGAGCCAGTTTGGTGCAGTGGTTATGTACACGGACTCTAATCTGGGAGAACTGGGTTTGATTCCCTACTCCTCCACACACAGCTGCTGGATGACCTTGGGCAAGCCATAGTTGTCAGAGCTGTTTTTGAAAGAACAGTTCTGGAAAGAGCTCTCTCAGCCCCACGTATCTCTCAGGGAAAGGGAAAGGAGTTTGTAAGCCACTCTGAGATTCCGAGTGAAGGGCGAGGTATAAATCCAGTGTTTTCTTCTTCTTCTGATATGTCTGTTGTATTTTCCTCCTCAACATCATGCTGGCCAACAGTGCCAAAGATTAATAATGCTACATAATTTAATATTTTTTCTGGAGATTGCTTCATACGTTTTATTTCTGCCTTTGGAAGTACAGAAACATGCTAAAATGCAGCATTTAAGTGTTCCATAGTTGAATTACTTTATTTATATCCTGCCTTTTATCCTCAATGGGGACCCAAAGCAGCATACATCATTATCGTCTCCTCCATTGTATCCTCACAACAACCCTGTGGTGTAAGTTAGGCTGAGAGTGTGTGATTGGTCACCCAAGGTCACCCAATGATCTTCCATGGCAAAAGGGCATGTGAACCTAGATTCCCCCAGATCCTTGTCCAATACTCTAACCACTGTACCACACTGGTTCCCAGTTTGCACTATGGCTACACATGGATGCATCTCTGAGCTGTTTGGAGCTTTCTGAAGCTTGTATCCACATAAGGAACACATTCTTTTTCTGTGGTGGTCCTTTGTGAAGCTGAGAAAGAAAGAAAGCCTGTGACCAAGTGATTTACAAACCCTTTTACCCCTCTTCCATTTTATTCCAACAACAACCCTCTGAAGTAGGTTAAGATCAAAGAGAGTGACTGGCCCAAGATCAGCCTATGACTGATATCCGAACTTGGGTTTCCCTGGTCCTAGTCCAAAACTCTAACCACTACACCACACTGGTCTACACTGTGGTTGAATGTAGTCTTCAACCTACACATTGCTTCTTCCAAGGAAGGTTATTCCTTCAAGATGAACACAAAATTTTCAGCAAAATGGATGTTTTGATTTAATGTCATTTGCTCTCACTTGAAATACTGATGTAATGCCCCTTCCCACATAAAGAGATGTTGTACTTAGCCATACTAAAAGCTACACTTCCATTTTAAGTGAGTAGCATATGTATAAATAAAAAGCTCTGTAAACTTACTTGGCTGAAATTTCAGTGTATATCCTATCAAAATACCATTTGGATGAGTAGGTGGTCCCCATTCCAAAGTGAGGGAGTCCAAACTTGGATTAGAAATCTTCAAAAAGGACGGCGCACTGGGAACTTTTAAGAACATAGTATGACACATTTTAAGGATAATATGACAGAAATAAAATCCAGTCTTCATATAATACAAAGATTAATTTATTTACAACTTTTAGAAGTATACTAGTTGTAATGATGACCTTCATGTTCATACATGAAGTTATCTACTGATTTCAGTGGAGTTTAACTCTAATTCGGTATGCTTATAGTGTAATCTTACAAAATGTTTCCTTCACATAGACTCCAGTAAAATTCTGATCACTGTAAGGACTGTAAGTATTAGTACTATCTATCTATCTATCTATCTATCTATCTATCTATCTATCTATCTATCTATCTACCTACCTACCTACCTACCTACCTACCTACCTACCTACCTAGTACTGCTCATAGGGCTATCACCTTAAACAGAAATTAGAACCAAAGAAAATATTTTAAAAGACCTTACAAAGTATTATTTCTCTTATATTTGATTATTGCGTCGATGAATTTTGCCACTGAGAGGGTGACACAATCATCGGTATTAGATAGTGGCTGTGACACCTGGGCCCGCACATTTAGCGGTTCCATATCTTTAAGTAAAGAAGTGACTAAATTAGCCCTCAAGTCATCGAATATAGGGCACTCCATAATCATATGTTCAATGGTTTCAATTGTAAGATATGAGCATCTGCATGTTCTATTAGAGTATGATACTTTATTATATCTGCCCTCCAAAACTGCCAAGGGAAGAACGTTCAGTCTTGCCAAAGTAAAAGCTCTTCTTAGTTTTGGGATGTATTAGTATTATGTTGTTATGTAATAGCAAGAGAAACAGATAAAAAGCCTTTAAAAATTGCAATTAAAATGCAATATGAATATTTCTGAGTTTTTCAGTCAGAAGTGGGTTTTAAAGAATACTGGTTTTGTTACTGCATTCTTTTCCTAAAGCTGGTGCAGTTTCCTCCTTTCTTTGTATAATAATCTACATGCTATTTTTATGAGATTAGGGAAAATGTTCACAGTTAAAATATGTCACCAGTAAGTCTAAAAACTTCAGTTGTATTGAGCAGTTTTCTAACTGCATACCTCCTTCAGGAGTTGTAAATTTCTTTTCAGGGGTTGCTGGTCCTTCTCCTTTCCCATTAAACACTTTAACATTCAGCTTGTAAGAACTATATGGCTCCAGTCCTGGTAACATCCCATGCGTCTTATTTCCACTGAAAGTCAATACCTTTTTGTCTGCATGCCGCTTACTTTTTCCAGATAAGGTTTGCACTTTCCAGTAGTAAATCTAGACATCAAACATAAGCATTTATCAAATCAGGATGTACACTATGGTAAGATGTTGGTACACCTAGATGCATATCTGAAATATTGAACACTAGGAATAAGGCCCATTGTAGAAAGAGGCTCTGTAGAATAAGGCCCCTCCTCAAACCCCACCCCTCTGACTTCAGGTTTCCATCTCCTCCCCCCTCCCTGTAGCCTCTACCTAGAAAAAGTACATTCTCCATGGTGGTGACCAAAGCAGCTCACATCATTTTCCTCTCCCCCTTTTGATTTGCACAACAACCTGGTGAGGTAGGTTAGGCTGAAAGTCTGTGAGTGGACTGAAATCACCCAATCAGCTACGACAGGAAGAAGCTGGGTCTGGTAGACCCTGCTCTGAAGTGCTAACTGCTATGTCACACTGGCTGTCACAGGGGGCCACCTCAGTGGGGTATAATGACTAAGCGTCCACCATTTTCTAAAAGGGAGCTGATCTCTGTCATCTGGACAGCAGTTGTAATTCTGAGTGATCTCCAGCCCTCACCTGAAGATTGGCAACAATGGTTTCCCAGGTGGAAATGGCTGGTTTGGAGGGTGGAGTCTATGGCATTGTACATGTCTGAGGTTCCACCCATCCACAAACCCCACCCTCTTCAGGGTCCAGCCCTCAAATCTCCAGGAATTTCCCAACCTGGAGTTGGCAGCCCTATCTCCTTCCCAGCCAACCATCAATCTACCATTATCTGCCCCTTTGACTTCAGCTTTCCATCTCACCACCACCACCTGCAGCCTCTACCTAGGAAAAGTACAGTCTTTCTTTGCAGGGAGGGACCCAAGCAGGAGGGAAATGTCCTCAGCAGAGTATAATGACACAGAGTCCACCCTGGAGTGGACTCCATGATGGAGTGAGCTCCCATCTCTAGTTCCAGCTCCTGCCAACCTAGCAGTTTGAAAGCAAGAAATTGCAAGTAGATAAATAGGTACCACTTCGGTGGGAAGGTAACAGCATTCCGTGTGCCTTGGTATTTAGTCATGCTGGCCACATGACCACGGAAACGTCTTCAGACAGCGCTGGCTCTTTGGCTTTGAAATGGAGATGAGCACCGCAACCCTAGAGTCGGATTCGACTGGCTTTCGAGTAAGGGAGCCTTTACCTTTACCACCCTGCAAAGCAGCTGTTTTTCTCCAGAAGAGCTGATCTCTGCCATCTGGAGAGCAGTTTTAATTCTTTTTTTTTAATTTCAGAAATAATACAAAAATTTAATTGTGAGTGACCTCCAGCCCTCACCAATGGTCCCCCAGGAGGAAAAGTACAGGATCTGTACAACAACCCTGTGAGGTACAGGATCTGCACAACAACCTTGTGAGGTAGGTTAGGCTGAAAGCCTGTGACTGGTCTGAAATCACCCCCTCAGCTTCCACATTGCATTTTGACTCAGCTTGAACCTGGGTGTGGCAGACCCTGGTCTGAAGTGCTGTTACGCCTAGGGTAGTCAACCGCCAGGTGGAGCCTGAAGATCACCGGGGATCACAATTGAACTCCAGACAACAGATTTCACTCTCCACCTGGAGAAAATAACTGCTTTGGAGGGTGGACTCTGTGGCATTCCATTCAGCTGATGTCTCTCCCCTCCCCAAACTCTGGCTTCCATAGACGCCACCACAAAATCTCCAGGAATTTCCCAATCTGGAGCTGGCAACCCTAGTCAGGACTGGACCCAATGAGTTCCCCACAAAGGCCAAAGGATGCCTGGAAAGGGCCTCCTGCTTTTGCCTTTTTACTGACAGGACCGAACTTGGTTGCTTAGCTGGAGCCACTGAGGGAAATGTTAGCCCCACAGCAGGAGGAGAAGAGAATGATTTGACAGCCAGTGGCTGACCTCAGTAGCCAGCCTGTGGCAGAGGAGCCAAGCAGACGTAGCAGTGTTTTTGTCAGGAGAGAGAGCCGTTTTGGCAGTTTATTCTGACAGGGAACAGTGGCCAGGCTGGCAGTGGGCGGGGGAAAGGATTGGACCCAGCACCCAACCAATGGCATGCAAGTACTCTTGAGTGGTTGTTGATGTACCAGTGTCTGATGGAGTGCACAGCACAACCAATGGGAGAGCTGGAAAGTGCCAATACATTGGGCTTATATATATATACACACACACACATATATAGGACACTGTAAAGATGCAGATTATTTCCTGAATTTGGTTGCTTTCATGCAAGTCACATTTAATTCAAGGGCAGATAAAGACCAGTATCATGTCTTTTGAAGCATGTCTCACTGAATTAAAGCATCAGTCCCAATATAGATATTGTTTTTAAGAGTAGCTATCCCCCTGACCAACCCTAGGCCGTAGAAATATTTAGTCAATGATGATTGAAAAGCATTTATTTTGGACTTGATTTATTTTTAACATTTGAAAAGGTTACATAAACTTCTACCTTAAATAGTATAGCAGCATACGAATAGCAATTGTATTGGGTGTTAATATATAGCACTTGCCAGTTTTATCTAAAACATTATTTGTGTATTATCTGGTTTGATGATATGATTAAAAATATGGATGCCCTAGCTATTAGCAGAGAAAAAATATAGTAGTGCTAATATTGTGACTCACATGTATTTCCCTCTCGCAATAAAAAGTCAATGCTGCTTAGAAAATATTTTTTAGCTAAAGTATGAAAACCAGAGGTCATTTCGGGGGGGATCGCGGTGGATCGCAATTCCCCCGGGTGAGGTACGGGGGGCGGGGCACGTGACGAAGCTCCGCCCCCTGCTTCCGGCCACCCCGCTTCTGGCCCTCATTCAGCCAGGAGGAGGCAGGAGAAGAGGGAGGGTAAGTTGCTTCCTCCCTGCCTCTCCTCACCCCTGCCTGCCTGGGGCCAGGGAGGGCCTTCGTGGGGCTTCCTTGCACTCCTGCCGGCCTTGCAGGTCCACCGCCAGGCCCCTCATGGGGCTCGGCAGTGGAGCTGCAAGGCCGGCAGCGGCGGCCGGGACCGTTGGGGACGGGGTGTGTGGCCTTATGACACACTTCCGGTGATGTCAGAGGGTGTGGCCTTATGACACACTTCCGGTGATGTCAGGGGGTGTGGCATATGCTAATGAGTTATGCTAATGAGTTCCCCTGGCTCTTTTTCTACGAAACGACCCCTGATGAAAACAAAAAAGCTCCATGCTGAGTCATTTGTCCTTCATTTACAGAACTATTCTAATCACTTTTCAGGAAGCACTTTTGAGTAAGAAGAAGAGGAGTTGATTTTTATATCCACTTTTCTATGCCTTAAGGAGTCTTAAAATGGCTTACAATTAGGGCTGGGCACAAACTGGAAAAATGTGGTTCATGGCTTGCAGCCAAACCACGAACTGAATTGAACTGGGAGGCTCATTTGTGAAACAAACCAGTTTGTGGCCCCGCAAACCCCATTAAAAGGGACTACAGTCCCTTTAAGCAAGGTTTGCAGAAAGCCTGAAAAACAGCTGAGCCACTCAGCTGTTTGGGGCTTTCTTCTGCAGTCCTTTTAAAATTTAAAGGGACTGCACAAGAAAGCCACAAAAACAGCTGAGTGGTGGGGAGCAGCTCCCAGCCGCTCACCTGTTTTTGCAGCTTTTGCAGGGAACAGAAAGCAGGGTTTAAAAGGACTAAGAGTCCCATTAAACCTCTGTTTTCTGCTCTATCCACAAACTGCCATCAACTGCTTTAAAGGTTTGTGGAAGTTCATGACGGTAAACTCATCATGAATTTCACTTTGCAAACCACGAACAGGGCAACATTCCTGATGCATTTTGTTTCATGATTTGGTTCGTGCCCATCCCTACTTACAACCACGTTCCCTTCTCCTCCCCACAATAGGCATCTTGTGAGGTAAGTGGGGATGAGAGCGTTCTGGGAGAACTGTGACTGGCCCAAGGTCATTTAGCAGGCTTCATATGGAGGAATGGGGAATCAAACCTGGTTCTCCAGATTAGAGTCCACTGCCCTTAACCACTACCCCATGCTGGCTCTCTCTAAAGGATATGCATAGTCAAGGTAAAAATCTTGATAGAAATTAACCCATGGCCACCCTTCTAGGTAATGCAATAAAATGGTTCAAGTTGAAAGCAGATGTAATATCTACTTCACCTAGCCCTTGCTGCTGAAAACAAGGAGCTTTACTATTGTTGGGGGAAAACATTACAATCCAAAAACATTACAATCTAAAATACACAGTCAGATGCTTCCTTCTAAACACACAATTGAAGGAAACTTTGCTACAGTGAATATTGTTTAAGAAACTTCTGTGGACTGAATATTGAAATATGCAGACACAGATATAGATTTTATTGTACAGAAATAGAGCCACCAGAGAAAGAAGTATTAGTGCTAATGAAATAAGATTTTATTATTGTAAACTTATGAGGCAAACTGTTTTAAGGACAAGTATGATTTACCCCCATTTATGTTTTGTGTTGTATTGTTTTGTTTTTTGTATGTTTATATGTGTGTTTAGTTTCAAAAACAAATAAAATTCTGCCCCTTGGGGCACTTCAAAAAAAAAAAAAAAGAAACTTCTGTGGATAACATACATTGTACCCCCGAAGATGGCCTCGGACAAGGTTTAGTGGAACTGGATCCCATCGCACTTTTGCTAAGGTGCTGTTTACAACATGTACCTCCAAATTTTCTGGTGCAACCATTGGTACTGTTGGGGACAAAAGTAACAAAATTCAGGTTAGAGCCACCCACATGAATTTGTATAATATTTCGGGCTTCATGAATGTAGAAATCTAGTGGTGCATCTATGTAACAAACACTGGGTTACAATATGATTACTTCTGAAGCCTTAGATAAATACAGAGCTTGTACATAAATAGCAAAGATTATTGCAAAAATCAACGCAAGAAACTTACAGTCTTCCCCAGAATATCCAATTGCTGTTGAAGGTTCTGGTGCAAATCCCAAATCATTTAATGCCTGTACTTTTATTTCATATGGAACAAAAGTTGGTGTACCAGACACAATATACTTAGATACATTAGCAACGGTAACAGATGTCCACTCATCATCAACATCCTTTTGCCGCCAACTGACTTGATACTGAAGCCCTGGACCATTAGACTGAATACGCTTTAATGGCTAAAATGCAAAAGAAATTATCAGCAAAGAAAAACAGTCAATGGTTCATATAAAATTAATGGCCTTGAAAATTTTAATATCCCAGTATAGCCACTTAATCAGATATTATTACTGAAATGTTATTAATGAAATTGCATTCATTTTCAGCTGTATCAAAATATGATACGTTTCCTTCGTGAGTCCAGCAGTTCCTGGGTAGTTCTGAGTACCTTTATTCACATTCCAAATGTACAAACATCTTTACACAAGCCTAATTTGGGGACAGCTACTAAAATGTAAAAATCTTGAAAACATCAGGACTTTCAAGATTGCATCTGTTGGCAGCAATAACCAATCAAACACTTAGTTCATTTTAATTTATAGTTTAGTTTATCACTTTGCATTTACCACAAAACTCTGCACATCTTTTGTGGCTAGTACTAGTAACATGTTATAGACTGGCACAGATTTAAATCATGCTTTGTTATTTTTAGGTTCAACATGCAGGTTTTGATAGCAAGTTACCGCAGCTTGTCTTTTCAACCATAATGAACAACTGGGTGACATCTCATAATACAAGAGGGTATTTTGTACAGCATTAAATAATATTCAATAGTGTTTCTGCTTTTCTATGTGAGAATGTATATGTACACTGTTTTTTATTATTTAATCTAAGTCCTTACCTCCCACATAATCACCAACTTATCAGGTTCTGATCCATTCCCCTGAATAACAGTTGGATTTTCATCTGGCTCTAGAAGGTAAATATTTATAATAATAAGCTATTTTTCCTGAATAATTCAATAACATCTTCAAACTAAGCTGATATTGGTTAGGGATAATGTTTATTTACTTGCAGATTCTGTCAAGTATCTTTCAGAGGGATCACTCGGCTGACTCTTTCCAATCTCATTGACAGCTATTACACGAAATGAATAGTTAACATATGGTGACAGCTTCAGTTGTACAGTTGTCTGGATCCCAAGGACATCCATATGGTAATGCCATATCCCTGGTTCATGCATGGCATCTTCATACTCAATGATATATTCTGAACACAAAGTAAAAAAGTTTTGTTTCAGAAACCATAACATTTTCATACAACAAGCCTAATGGAATTATTTTAGAACTGAATGTATTTATCGTGCATTAAACTATAAGCCCTTAAGGGAATGTAGCTTAAAGCAGCATTCTACAGAACATTAAAGCTTTCCTAATACTTAGTAATATTTCCAATATTTTGTAATATTTCACATTTCTATAAACTTTACAATATACTTGCAAATTAATGACATCATTAGAATCTGAAAAAACACCATATTCAATTAAATGAACATTATTGTGTCTTCACAGCATTTAGTGGAACTTCATTCCAATATGGCAAACCATACTTGTGATAGGGCTGTTATTGTCATCTCCTGGCACCCATGTGAGCTGAACACTTCTCTCTAGTTTGTCAGTCAATTCCAAATCAAATGGAGGATCAGGACGATCTGTAAGTGAAATAAACACAGAGAAGATAAAAATATCCATTACATTTCAAGAATACTATAACTGCTTTTAGTATGTAAAAATGATTTACCGGTCACACTCACTAGCATGCAACAGCAATGAAATGTGACAACCAATGTTGCTGGAAATCAATGGCAGGAACAAAGAGCTAGAATTACATGAGTACAGTGCCAGATTTTCTTTTGTATTATGAAATAAATAAAATTGGAAAGTAGAAAAGATGAAATGCATGGTTCACCAGCAGTTTCAGTGTATGATTAATGACCATGAGTATCACACTAGTGTGTATGAAAGCCAGTGTTCCCTTACAATAAAAAGGAAAATAAAAAGGCATACAAATACGCACCAAAAATAAAGCAGAGGAAGAAGGAGAAGAACTGTTTCAGAATTACAGTATTCAAGCACCCTGGATCAGGCATTTTTCTTATTTTTTTTTAGGATTTTAAAAAAGCATTAAATTTGCTGATGATACCAAATTGGGAGGAGTTGCAAACACCCAAGATAGTTAAAATTCAACAAGACCTGAATACTCTGGAGAAGTGGGCAGTTGCAAACAGGATGCAATTCAACAAAGATAAAAGCACAGTATTACATCTGGGCCACAAAAATGTCAAGCACAAATACTGGATGGGGGATACATTTCTGGGGAGTAGTGTATGCGAAAGAGATCTTGGGGTAAGAGTGGACTGTAAACTAAATACAAGCAGTCAGTGTGATGCGTTGGCAAAAAGGGCAAATTCAGTCTTAGATTGTATTAAAAGTGTCATAGCATCGAAATCACAGGTCATAGCCCCTCTGTATACTGCCTTGGTCAGGCCACACCTTGATTACTGTGTGCAGTTCCGGAGGCCTAATTTCAAAAAGGATGTGGATAAAATTGAGAGGGTGCAGAAGAGAGCAACGAGAATGATCAGGGGTCTGGAGACTGAGCCCTACGAGGAAAGGCTAAGGACCCTGGGAATGTTTAGTTTGGAGAAGAGGAGACTGAGGAGGGACATGATTGCTCTCTTTAAATATTTGAAAGGATGTAATTTGGAGGAGGGCAAGGAAGGAGATGTTCCAGTTGGCAGCAGAGGATAGGACCCGAAGCAACGGGTTTAAATTACTTGCAGAAAGGTATTGGCTAGATATTAGGAAAAACTTTTTCACGATCAGTGTGGTTCAAAGGTGGAATCAGCTGCCTAGGGAGGTGGTTAGCTCCCCTTCACTGGCAGTTTTCAAGAAGAGGCTGGATGAATATTTGTCAGTGATGCTCTAGGCTGGTCCTGCATTGGGCAGGGGGTTGGACTAGATGGTATGTATGGCCCCTTCCAACTCTATGATTCTATAAGTAGTCCAAAACAATTTTTACTACCAAAGTATCTTTATTTATGCATTAATCTGAAATTATCCACTGTGGACAAGTGTGATATACACATTTAAATAAATTTGACTATAATTGTGCTGTCTCTTCATAGTTGTGAACAGGGGTCATTTGGGGGGGGACGTGGGGGGACGCCATCCCCCCGGGTGAGGTGCGGGAGGGCGGGGCCTGGAGCTCCCTGCTGGTGCCCGCTGGAGGTCACCGCCGGCTGTGGGGAGGACACACTTCCGGTGATGTCAGGGTGTGTGGCATATGCTAATGAGTTATGCTAATGAGTTCCCCTAGCTCTTTTTCTACGAAATGACCCCTGGTTGTGAAGTGGTGGTGGTGAAAAGAGTAGGATAGGAATCAAAATCACAATCAGTTCTTGGAGGAAATAATTTAAACTGGCTTATGTTTTAAATATATGTAAGATGATCCATGGAGAATTTGAAATTCTTCTTTGTGCTTGACTGAACAATTGATTCCCCTGTTTCTCCACCAAACCGGCTTGTTCTTCCTGGTCTAGCTTGTCCCTTACAAGACAGGGTACACAATGAGAATAACCACACTATGGTCCCGGTCACGCTAGGGGGAAAGGTACGACTGAAGTGCGGCTTTTTAGAGCCGCATCAAAAGAGAAGCGTGGCTGTGGGATCAGACAGATCCCCCCAGCCACTGCACAGTTCCTCCCCGGCATGATCAGATGCCGGGGGGAAGCCATGGACCGGAGAGCGAAGCGAGCCCGCTGCGCATGCGTGTGCATGCACAGGTCAGCAGGACCTCGCATGCTGCGAGAGACGGGTGCGTTGGCGATCAGATGCCTGCCCGTGCTGCGCGGCAACTGGTAGGTAGTGCTGTTTTGCTACTACCTTTTTGAGCTGCGCCTTCACCCGGAAGGGACGGATCGGGGACGGGTGTGTGCCGCTTCCCAGATGTTGCGGTATGATCCTGCCCGCTTGATGTGCCCCCAATCCGTCCCTCCCGCAGGGCAAATCCTCTCGTGTGACCGGGGCCTATATACCAACATTCTAATGACAAGTAAAATTTGACTTTCACTGCTGCATGGATAAGTTTGGAAAGCTTATTTCAACAAATGTACATGTGTCTCTCCCCTACTCCAAGTTAATTAATTATCAGATTTAAAATATATAACCAACTCAAAAAGGTATGCCTGTGTTTGATGAGCACTGACCTGATTAGCCCGAGCTAGCCCCATCATATCAGATCTAGGAAGCTAAGCAAATCAGGCCCTGGTTAGTGTTTGGATGGGAGATCACCAAGGAATACCAGGGGCACTGTGCAGAGGAAAGCAATGGCAAACCATCTCTGAATATCTCTTGCCTTGAAAACCCTATGAGCTGATCATAAGTTGGCTGTGACGTAATGGGGGGAGATTGATGCATGGTTTACAGTGCAATCTGAAGGAGGGTTTCACCCTTCTAGGTATATTGAAGTTAATAGGTTTCAAAGAATATAAATCTATTGCACTGCAAGAAATCCATGGAATAATCTTTCAGTGGCTGCTGTCACTAGCCCTGATGTAAGGTTTTCCAAGAACAGAACAGAAAATACATTTTTAACTTGATTACATTATCCAGTCTGTTTAAATATCTATCTGGATCCTTGGGAGGAGTTATTTAGAGGCACTTTGTTTTCCTAAAATGAGTTATGCCTTTATAAATCCATTGTACCCAATGGGCTTACAATGGTGTATGCTCTGGCCATAATAAAATCAAAGTTGACACTTAAAGCATAGACTTATTTGAACCTGCATTTCTAAGAATACTTACAGTAGCTTCACTCTGGTTACAAATGTTCCACTCAGGTTCATCAAAAGCATTTGTGTGTATGGGAAAGGAAATAGTGTATTCACCAGGAAAACAGATTTAAATGCACAGAATTTCATAACCAAAAGATGACATTAGGAAGATCGCATGCAGCTTAATGTTCTAAATTGGACTGAGGTCTATGGATATGAAGTGTTTAGGTATGGACAAACTTTTCTGGTATTACGTCAGTTTTTCTATTCTTCATTTAAGGTAGGATTTAAACTGAACATTTCTACATTCTAATTTAAAGGTTCAAGGAAACATTTAACTGTATTTTGATTAGCTACTTATAGATTATTTTTTTACAGATAAGATGATGTAACAACCATTAGGAAAAGGAGCAGTGTTGAACACAAGTTTGGATAAAATGTTTACACCCCAGAATATCCATTCTGATTGTGTTAAACCATAATAATGAAACAGTTTTAACATTTTGCTCATAAGAATAATGGTAATACAAGGCAAAAATCTCATCAGATTCAAACTAAGTTTGTAAAATGTAATGTAACAGAAAAAAAGAAAGAAAACAAGTTGATAGGCAGAAAGTATATGCATATTTGATAGATGAAGGCAAACAAGACGTTCTGTTAGTTTACCGTAAACAACAGGTGGAGTTGTTGGAGGAGCTGCAAAAGGATATTAATATGAAGCATTTAATCATTGTTAGTGGAAAAAACACAAAAAGTGTAAAATTAGGTTATTACAGCTGCTAAATATTATACTGGAAAGTTATTCTTATCTGGAAAAGTGTACAATTTTAATGATGGTTAGTGGTCTTAACATAAAATTAGGAATGCCCATTTATTTGAGATTTTAGATGTTTTAGAAAATTATTAAATTATTAAAGAAAAAGAAAAAATATCAATTATTAACAAGGGAAAGACTTATTTAGTTACACCACAATAATAGAACTTTATTTCATCAACACCTGGTGAACTGATATTTCTTTCTTTCTTTTGCTGTATGTCAAATTATTTCCCAATACAGGCAACCTATAACTGCAACAGAAGCTTGTATGCCCTCCTGCTGAGTTTGCAGCCTCCCAGAATAAAGTTGCCATAAATATGGATTTATATGTACAAGCCCATTGACTGTGTCAAGGTGTTTTTTCCTGCCCCTTGTTGCTGGCCCTTGATTGAAGTAGAATATTTTTTCTTAAAATATCCCTTGTCTGCTGCTAGGTAAATTATTTTTTTTTATTTTTTTTAGAAAAAGCCCAGTTTCAAGAACCCAGTCCCTAAAAAGGATTAAAAAAATTTCAAGTATTTTCTCTAACACAGGGGTAAGCAATCTCTTGGTGCAAGTGCTGAATGAAGCATAGGTGGTGGTAGTGGCTGTACTTGCCACATGAGCCAAACCATCTGAGGATGTTGTGAGGGTAGTGGCACTGATGGCTTTTGTACTTCATAGAGGTGGCAGCACTGAACACGTAGCTGGGGACTTCCTGTGCCTGCCTCAGAATTCGAGCACACTAAGAAGCAATACTGCAAGCCTTCACAGTACAGCACTTACTGGGGGAGGGGCCAGAAAGAGTTCCATAACTGTCTGCTGGCCCAACCTGATTTGACTACACACCTGCAAGGCAGCTGTTGTGCCAAGCATAATGGCGTGCTCTAACAGGTATAGGCAAACTAAATATTTTTCTGACTCAGTAAGCAGAAATAACAGTTGGGGTTCAGGCTATAAATAAACAAATGCATACAGAACCTGATCCATACATGCTACAGAAAGAAATAACAGAATGATAAATTAACAGAATGGAACATACTGCTTCAAATTGGAGGCTCAGTATAAAAAGAATAAATAGTGTATCTCAGCCTTCTCCCGTTTATGATATTACGCTAGGGGAAGGGAGGCAGCTTAGTGCCAAGGCGAGGCAGGCAGGAAGGTAGGTTGGGGGCTGAACGGCTGCTGTGGCAGGAAAAACTGGCCCTCCCCTCCCCTTGCAAGCCAATGGCTGGTCCTAATATGGGCCTGGGAGAGTGGGAAGGGCAGGGTTTGTCGGGGGGGGGGGGCGGATTAAAGCACACTATACTGCCTACCCCCTCCACACCTAGCCATGTGGGTTTGTTCAGCTGGCCCACCCATCCCTCCTTATGCTTAGTGTTAGACTGGACTGTTGTAGGTTATTTGGGGAGTAGAAGGGTATAATTTGTGTTGTTATATCTTCTTCTTTATCACAACTTTACCGAGGTATCAGCATGGGGCCGGATTCAATTTGGGGGAATCGGCCTGTGTGCCATTTCCAGGCATATGGGAATCCCCTTAGAGGGTCTTGGGATCAGGGTACAAGGGGCATGCCCAGCTCAGGGGCTGCACAATGGCCACACTCATATTCAGGTGGCAGGGGAGACCACTCAGTGGTGATTGTCCTTGTAGAATCCCAAAACCTGCCATTCCATGGTTCTCCCCATCCCAGCCGGCTGGCTGGGTGTGACGGGGTGCATCGACTGATAGGAAGGGTCAGTTGATACCAGATCCAATGGACCCATGCTGTGCCAATACTGCTTACAGCTGTAACCAATAAAGTTGTGGCCATTTGATTTCCACATTTATGCAAAGAATGTGATTGTGATTATCGGTGTGGTTGTGGGGTCAAAACCTTTGCTGGACTCTCCCCACCTATAGGCGCTAAGATTGCAACTACATCTGTGTCCTTTCTTTTTCCTTTAACCCATAGACTGCAGCTGTGAAAGCACTGTGGGTTTGTATTGCCAGTAAAAGGAATGTATGGGAGTTTTTTTTTTTTAATGAACAGCCTATAAATAATATAGGATTGATTTACAGTTCTTAAAAACAACAATTGTAGCTCAAAACCCACAGTATCTTTTCAGTGGCAACCTGAAAATCATTTTTCTAACAGAAATTATGGCATATACAAGAAAATATAGTCAAATAATTTAAATCTTCTTTTTAACTTTCCCAAAACAAGCTATAGCACAACCTCAACTTAGAATGAAAGTATGGTCCCACAGTACGGATATAGCTTTGCCACTGCCCTACTAGCATATTAAGAGAAATCTTACCAACAACAGTAAGCACAGCACTCGCAGAAACACTGTCCAGAGTAGTATTAGCTAGGCAAGTATACGTTCCACCATCCTTATCAGTTACATTCACAATGGTTAAGTTGTATTTACCAACAATAAACCTGCAATTACAATAGATTTAATAAATCCATGGCTTCATAACTGAACGTTATATATTGTAACAAAGTGGCACATCTTAATTTCTCTTCCTATTATAAAATACACATGCTGAAAAAAATCTAAATTTGCTCCCTAATCTTAATCTAGTGTGCTTCAGGCACGAAAACACATCTAGATCATATATCAATATTTTACAAAATGCTCCTGTCATCTAAATTACTGCATACCATAAACAAGAATAAATGAGTAGCACTTCAGTACAGTATTATAGACAGCTCATGGTAATATCTATGAAGTAGTAATTACTAAACTATTACAGAAATTCAAGTACTAAGACATCAATATTACTTTTTATGTGAAAGTGATACAGTAGTTGCCAGCTTCTGGAAACTTTCAAAGTAAGTATTTACATTTTACTGGGGAATGGATGCTTATTTAACTAAGGTCTGACTTGCTTAAATTTTCTCAAGCATGGCTCCTATAGAGTTTTGCAAAACAACAACAACCCAGAACATAATTACCAACAACAGAATTTCTCTAACGAAAATCAATTAAAGGTATTTACTAAGAATATAAAGCTTACTTCAGATTGCAATCATGATTTATCTATACCTAAAGTCTCACTGAACTCATCTCTAGCCAACTGCCAGACCTTATGCCAGACCGACCAGCCAAACATAGTTCACCAGCTAATATGCTTATTAAACTTCTTGGGTTGGATTCCCCCCCCCCTTTTTTTTTGCTGCGTAAGTGAGGAGAGGCCTCTAATGACTCCCAAAAATGATGTGTTGGGGATACATTGACAAAACGCTTCAGCAAGGAGGAAAATCAGATGAGACTGGCCCTCCTCCCTTCCTTTTACACAAGCAGAAAAGGTGCTAGGGTTAAATTCCCTGTTATTGCTGTCTTTCTGAGAGAGGAGTTGGCATACATCAAACAAACTACAGCACTTGGCTGGTGAGGTACATTCAACTTGGTGGGTTCCAGGTTGCACAGATCACATCTACTACTTCTTTGCAAGAATCATATGATATGCATATGTCTCTATGAACCGTAACAATAAAGAGTATTGAGAGAGTCCCTTAATTTCTGCATGATCCATTCAATACACCATTCAATTAAATACATGTAAGGAAAATTTTCTATGAGTGATCCTGGTGATAGAATTTTCTACCTAGCACAGAACCTATATGAAAATGGTTATCTTGAACATACCTTTCATCATTTGATAATTCACCACTGTCTTTCAACCATGTAACTGTAGGTATTAAGGTAGGGTCATATTTAATTGTACATTCAAAGGAAACCTGTCCATTCCTTTGTACCATTTTGTATTCAGGCTGCTTAATAATCATTGTTGGTTCTGAAACATAAAATTACTGTTAAGACATTTAACAGCTGGAAATTCTTGGTTATATTGGGTTTAGGAGTTTGTAAATAAGGATTGATTTCTTACCTTTAATTTCCAATTGAACTTCATTTTGTACCTTTCCTAATTTATTTCCTGCTACACAGGTATATGTGCCACTGCTATCCTTCTGGGCCACAGGAATTTCCAAGGTGCCATTGTTATGGAAAACATAGTGTTCTCCCTGGAGAATACTACCTTTTGCTCCTTTAAACCTAAGTAATAAAAAACAGGATTATATTATCCATGCAGTTATTGTAACTGAATTTGGGATCAAGGGGTGGCTATTAAACACATAGATTCACTCAAATTCAACAAAGTTAGACCAGTGCTTACTAAAGTATAAAGACTAATTGTCAAAAAATGCCAGCATCCAATACAGAAATTGTGCAAGAACTGTATTTTCACTATGTGTGCCAAACTGCTTCCATAAGAAGCAACAAAAGAGCTACCAAAAAACAAACAAACTGGGATTTATACTTTATGATTTTCTAATATGGTAAAAGCTTTGTTACCTGTCACTCAAAGGGAAGGGGCCTGCCTAATCACATGTGCTTGAAACTCAGGCTTATTGTTCTGCTCACCCAACTACCGAGAATACTACACAGCAACCAAACCCCACCCCAGTAGGAATACTATGGCAATATCTTCCACATCTGGCAGGACTCTCCCCTACCACCGAGCCACAGAGTCCTGCACAGTAGGTGGACAAGCAGGCCACATACCCAGAAGCTTTCCAGCAGAGCTGGCTCCTGACAGACTGAGGGGTAAGGAGGCACCCAAGTATGATGTCAGCTGGCAGTGCCAGCTTGCCCTTGTGGAAAAGTTTTTATGGTACACCTCCTTAAATTATTGCTGTGAATGAAACAGAACCTCTTAAGATTTATGCACTGCAACTGATTTACCATTCGATTGAAGGCACAGGTGAACCAAAAAAAGCACAATGTAGCAATGCAGGTTTGTTTGCAATGACTTGGTACAGCTGATTTCGAGGAGTAAGAATTCTTGGTGCCACAGCTAAAAGACAAAATTGCATACACAACAAATGATAAAAATCACAGTGCATAAAATTATTTTTCTTCTTTTGACTGTTATTTGGCATTTAATAAAATAAATAAATAAAACAAGGATGCCATTGCTCCACAGAATAAGGCCCTGGCTCTGAGCACCACCCACCTCACTTCAGATAGTGAGCACATAGTACAGCCTTCACATGCTGATCTTAAGGGGGGGGCAACTTGATACGAGAGGAAATGACAGTGGTTTTAAAACTGGCATATGTTTCCTATAGTTTATGCGAGTGAATCAATTTGCTGCTATGTTCTGTAATATTTGACATTTCCAGTACAAGCCTGAAGGACTAAGAATTGATTGTACTGGTTCACTATGTGTAATCCTTTCATCATGGAGTAGACTCATACAGTTCCTGGATAATCCAAACATCCTTGAATTCCATAAACCATAGAGTCTGGATGCAAGCGGCTTGAGACCCTGTGAGAAAGGCAGACTATAAAAAAGGTATATAAATACATAAAATGAATAAAAGTTCAGAAAACTAATTCACATGCTAATTCTGAGCCTTTAATTTAAGCAAGATTCAGGAAAATGTCCAGGTTTTCCAGAAAGAGGAAACAAGGTTTCTTTCTCTTAAAGGGTAAAATGCTTTTTTAGTTATTGCTTGCAACATAAATAAATATCAAAGAAGTATTGAATTCAGTAGTTCGTTTTTACTAAGTGAAGAGTTCTCAATTGGAAGATTCCTTTCACTGGAAGAATGGTCTTCTACCAGTGGACAATTTACCCAAAATGACAGAAATTCCGAAGCCACATACCTTGAGAAAAGGATCTCAAGCATCACATTAATATGACTTGTAGACTTCCTCAATGGTTTAACTGAAATGAATGACATTCTTCAAAAAGACATTTTTCATTCTTAAACAGTATCTGCTACTTTTGTAGAATTTAATGAGAGAAAAAGGATATTTCCCAAGACAAATTCTATGATCACAGTATCAGAAAAATACAGTTCCATAGACATTTAACCTGGAGTAGACCTGCTGAATTAAGTGGACTCATTATTCAGATATAATCCCAAACTTCTTCCCAAACAGATTAGCACCTCAATCCAAGACACATAGGCATTCAATAGTGAACCTCACTGGTTTCCCTTGTACTTGCTTCCAAGACAGTATGTTTGTGGTTGGAGTGGGGACTAGCATATTGGGGGGGGGGGGGTTTAAGGGAAGGACAACATATATTTACTACACTGGGGAAATCAGGCTGCAACTTTACTGATTACAGATTCTTCACATCTTGGTGCAGCACAGGCTGAGAACAATGGATGGAGCTGACAGCCAAGTGAACACAAATGTCCAGTGTACCTGCAATGCCTTTCTTTAAACATGAATTGCACACCGAATTGGAGCCTGCCACTCTCAGGTCCACTGGCTGCACCCTTCCTAAACATGCAGCTGTCCAAGGATGGTGGGGCTGCCGAAAACTGCCCAAAATCCACCTGGTTGAGAGCCAATGCTGGGCACAGTTGCCCAGAGTCATTCTGTCCCCCTCCCCAGACACAAATGGTGCTTCAGCTTAAGGCTGAGAGCTAAACTTACAATCTTAGCCTTACCCAGGACTAAAGAAGCCAATTGCTGAATCTACTTTAACAAAGCCCTTACTTTACTGTAATGTGGTGTGTCACTAAGACATTCTAACTAGGGCTGGTCCTTGGTGTGGGGTGATAAAGTTCTGTTTTTTTTGTAGGGCTGCCAAGTCTCCCCGGGGGGCGGAAATCCCCCCGCCCCAGAGGCCTGTTCCCCGACGCCGGGGAATCGGGCCCCAGGGGGAACCCCGCCCCAGTGTGCACGTCACAGGGAAGTGACGTCATGACGCCGGGCACGCTGGGGACGGGGCCACCGCCATACAAGGGAAAACTCTATGGTTTTCCCATACAAGGGAAAACACGCCGGGATACGATTGGGAGTCCCCCGCCAGCAGGGTAAGTGCCACTTGGCAACCCTATTTTTTTGTCATATTTAATCTGCTTTATTTTAACATAACATTTTAGCTATATGTTAATGAAATACAGAGCAGCTGCAATTAGATATGCTGAAAGAATGATCACATATATTCATTATTACTACTAATTTTTCAGGTGTTTTTTAAAATTGATCTTACCCAAAACATTCACAAATGCATTTGCCAGTAGATATCCATATTCATTAGAGGCATTACACTGATAAACAGCACTTGAACGTTCTTGTACATCAGTGAATATAATTGTATCACCATCTACTCTTCTGCTAGGATCTTCAGGTGCAACTGTTTGGAAATATTAAATGTATATAAATGAATATATACACATATATACTCATGTTCTTACTGAATTATGTTTAGCAAAAGAAAACGTAATGGTTTGAAGAAAGTACTTTCTAAATGGTACAATAAAATACTATTTAGAAAATTCAATATGCTATTTAAGAAATTATATGAACTTTTAAAAAATTAAACATCAAATGTTAAAAAGTATATATTAACACATACACACACACACACACACACACACAAAAGAACCAGAAAGAAAAGGGACAGTAAATAAGGAAGCAAAGAAATGAGAGACCATTTGACTCAAATGTAAATGAAATTATTCATTTCTGCTTTTCTCATAGAAAGCTGAGGATAAATTAAGACCCTCAGTGGATAAACACTGTCCTTGTTTTTGCTTAGTATTCCTAAACTATATTCAGGTATCACTAATAAACTGAATGAGAATGAGCCAGTAAGTCATCCTCTCTCCACTTAGTAATTTGCAAATAACAGCACAGATAGAGAACTTTCTGGTTCATAAGACTTTGCATTTTGCCATAATGTCCAGACTTGATACTTTTATAAACTGATTTGTTTCTTGTCTACAAACCAAACGGAAACTTTGGTTTGTAGGTAAAAAACAAGAAGTTATTTGTAAAAAAGCCAGTTTGGAAGTTGCAAGGAAGTCTTGAGTTAAGGTTCTATTCACAAATATGGGGGGGAGGGGGGGAGTTCTTGGGCTCAAGGATCTCACCCTCATGGACTATTTATTTATGAAAGGATATGTTTTAGTTTTCACAGTACCTAAATAGTGTGCATGCTTGTTAGGATATATAGAGAATACAATGCAGGAAATTTGATGGAAGTCAGTTATTTAAATTTATTCTTTGGAATAAATGATAATTTAAATTGTCTTTATTCAAGTCTAGCCTATTCATGCTTTTCTGATCTCAATGGCTGGTGACCTTTATTCTCCTTCAACCCAAACAAAGGAGTGCATTACTTCTGTTCTCCATTCAAGGTCATGAAAGCAATATTTTAAAATTCTGAAAGGCCTAGATTTCTCTAAGATCTGCTATACTTTCAAAGTTGTCTGCATATGACAATGAGCAACATTTCTCTGTCCCACTCTATGTTCCCTTCTTGCCTAGTTTGATGTTTTCATTACAAACATAATTATTTGATACTAGTAGCAAAGCCCATTGTGGAAGCAATACAACGAGCTCTAGAAAGATGTGAAAGGCACCTTACAGGCCTGGCTCCATTCCATGCATTTCCATACGTGAAGGTGGCAGTACACAGCCCCTCAGTGTTTTCTTATACATCGTCTCTCTATTCATCTGTTTGCCTGCACAGAGGCCCCCGGCGACAATCCGCCTTCTTCCCCCTCCCCAGTACTCGGGCCCATGCTGCTTGCGCATGTCGGCCTTGTCCTCCTCCTTGGCTGGCTTGTCCTTTCTGGTGACAGCCCCATTCGCTATGCCTGCTGCCCACAAGGCAAGTGGGAACGACTTGGGGGGAGAGTTGCTCATAGCGACCTGCCCGTGTCCTGGTCTCCGCTAACTCGCACAGAATCGGTGGTGGGACAGAAGGCCACCTGCATCCCCCACCATTGCCAGAGGCACCCTGCGGCCCCTCACCCACCTGGAACCACGTAGGTGCGGAGGAGTGCAGGGTCGGGCAAAGCAGCAGAGAGGCCACCAGCAGGGCAGCGGGGGAAGTGTCGGATGAAGATGATGAGCCGGGCCCACAATGCCATCATATGGTGACAGAGCAGCGGTGGGAAGATGGCGGCCAGGAACGGGGCCGCCCCCAAGAGCTCTGAGCGTGGGAGAATCTGCGGCGCAGAGCCATGAAGAGCTGCCGGGCCAGGGGAGAAGGAGGCTAGAAGCCACGGCCCTGGCCAAGCAAGCCGTCTTCTCTCCTGAGGTGAAATTCTGTTGTGAGTTGATTTTTGGCGCGTGCTGCTTCTGTGGGCAGGACTCAGGTAACGTAGCTACCAATGGATAGAGACCCCTGGTGAGTGACACATCAGGGAGCCAATTGATTTGGGAGTGTGTGGAATGTTCAAGAGAGTCCATGACCAAAACACAATTATATATGAGAGATGCTAAACTTTTAATAGCATCTAATTGCTGGTGGATGCTAAAATCTTTCCCAAGTATGGGTTTGTGTTTCCTTCTCTGAATATTTAAGCATTAATTGCAGGCAGTTCTGGAGTGGATACAGGTTAATGAACTAAAGGTGAATCCTGACAAGACAGAGGAGCTACTGGTGAGTGCAAGGTCTGACCTTGGATTTAAAGTGTCATCTGTTTTAGCCGGGGCTGTACTACCCTTGAAGGAAAGGTCTGTAGTTTGGCAGTCCTCTTGGATCCAGGCCTATTGCTAGATAAGCAGGAGGCAGCTGCCAAACACCAAGAATACAGTGCATCCCTTGCCACAGCCTGAGAGTTCCTAGCTATACCTTGTGGCTAATAGCCACTGATGGACTTCTGCTCCATATGTTTATCTAATTCCTTCTTGAAGCTGTCCATGCTTGCAGCTGCCGCCACCTCTTGTGGCAGTGAATTCCATGTGTTAATCACTGTTTGGGTGAAGAAGTACTTCCTTTGATCTGTTCTAACCCGACTGCTCAGCAATTTCATTGAGTGCCCACGAGTTCTTGTACTGTGAGAAAGGGAGAAAAGTACTTCTTTCTTGACCTACTCTATCCCATGCATAATCTTATAAACCTCGATTATGTCATCCCTCAGCCGTCGTTTCTCCAAGTTAAAGAGCCCCAAGCGCTTTAACCTTTCTTCATAGGGAAAGTGTTACAATCCTTTTAAGCATTCTAGTTGCCCTTTTCTGCACTTTTCCCAATGCTATAATATCCTTTTTGAGGTGTGGTGACCAGAATTGTACACAGTACTCCAAATGAGGTCGCCCCATTGATTTATACAGGGGCATTATGATACTGGCTGATTTGTTTTCAATTCCCTTACTAATAATCCCCAGCATAGCGTTGTCCTTTTTTATTGCAGTTGCACACGGTCTTGACATTTTCAGTGAGTTATCTACTACGACTCCAAGATCTCTCTCTTGGTTACTCTCTGCCAGTTCGGACCCCATCAATGTGTATTTATAGTTAGGATTTTTGGCTCCAATGTGCATCACTTTGCACTTGGCCACATTGAACCCCGTTTGCCATGTTGACGCCCACTCGCCGATCCACTACAGATCCCTTTGGAGTGCCTCACAATCCTCCCCGGTTCTCACCACCCTGAACAACTTTGTGTCATCTGCAAATTTAGCCACTTCACTGCTTACTCCCAACTCCAAATCATTAATAATTTGGAGACAACTGACTGCAGCACTGCTTTCCCCACAGCGGTATCCCTCCTGAAGTCCACATCGATAAAATAGTGTTTAATGAACATTGATGGTGAGGACGAAGTCACAGCTTTGCAGATCTCCGTGATGTCAAGGGCAGCTTGGAAGGCTGCAGAGGAGGGCTGAGCTCTGGTTGAGTGCACCTTCAGGGGAAATGGGCATTCTAAATGAGCTGCGTCATAAGAATTTTTTATGGCAGCTGTTACCCATCTAGAGAGAGTTTGTGCAGAGACCGCTTTTTCCTTGTTTGGCTGAGCAAAAGAGACAAAAAGGGTTTTGTCTTTATGGAAAGTTGATGTTTAATCCAAATAAAATAATAATACCCTCCTCACATCAAATGTGTGCATTGTTTGTTCAGTCGGGGAGTGAGGGTTAGGAAAGAACACCGGTAAAACTATGTCATGAGGCAAGTGGAACTGAGAGACTACCTTTGGTGTGAATTCAAAACTGGGTCTCAAGACAACCTTGATCTTATAAAACCTAAGAAAAGGGGCATAGTCTTAAGGCTCTCAGCTCACCCACCCTGTGTGTAGACAACTGCGACTAGGAAAGCTGTCTTATAGAATAGGGAGAGCACATGAAGCTATTAGTTCAAGTTTATGTATTAATTGGGAGAGTACAAGAGATACACTCCATTGAGAGAGGGGTTTTTACTGGTGGGTATAGACTGAACAAACCTTTCATGAACCTTTTTGACAATGCATTTGAAAATACAGGCTTAGAATCCACACCAAAATGGAATGCAGATATAGCCACCAAATGAACAATAGAGGAGGTAGATAGCCTTGCATCTAGTAATGAAAGGAGGTATTCAAGAGGCAGGATTCAGGTTTAATTTTTCTGTACTTTGCCCAGAATGTGAAACACTTCCACTTACATTTGTAAGACTTCCATGTTGATGGCTTATGGGATCAAAGTAAAACCTTGGCTACTTTGTTGGAGCAGTGTTCTATGGGGAAATTTACCATGCGCGCAGGTGTAGCATTTCTGCATTGTGGTGGTATAGGTGTCCTGTGGAAATGATGTCTTGGACTACATATAGGGGAATGACTTAGCCTCTGGAGAGATTCTGCCACATTGGGAACCATGACTGTCTTGGCCACCAGAATGCATGCTGTTCTGATTTGAGTTTCATTATCACCTTTTGAATAAGTGGGAAAGGTGGGAAGGCATAGTATAGGGCATGAGACCAACGAAGGAGGAATGCATCCCCTGATGAGTGGTTGCTTTTGGGAACCCTGGAGCAAAACATCTGGCACTTTCTGTTGATGTTTGAGGTGAGGTTGTAGATTTTTTTCTTCGCCTTTATCACAGGCGGTTCAGATGCCGCTTTCAGGCATTCAGTCAATGTTTCTGATTGGGACCTCAGTTTTTTGACAGGGACCAACACCACTGAACCAGTCCTGGTCCATTTTTGAGGGGAATCCATGGATTTTGGAACCGCAAGAGATTTCTCCCACAAAGTGGCTTTCAACCGCAGGGCATGTTCTTGTCGAGCTTTCGGGGTGAGGAGACCGTACGCTTTACCCGAAGAGGTATTATGACCCTTCCCCCAAGCACATAAGGCACTGAGTACGCTCATCATTCTGTGCCATTTTAGTGTTGCAAGAGTGGCATTTCTTGAAAAGGGCCATCTCTGTTCATTCGAGAGAGGAATGGAAAGAATTCTGTAGGAAGAAAACCTATTTGATGGCAAACCTCCTGAGGTTAATCTCCTGAGGTAAGTACCAGTGCTGTAGAATGTCCTTCCTCCACGGTGGCAGAAAAAGGACCGAGGGAAGAGTGCTCCCCCCACCCCTTGTCACATGATCATTTGGGCGGGAACAGAACTTGAGTTCTATAGTGCATCTTCTTAATTCAATCGAAGTTCAATATTGTCTACTTTGACTGGCCGCAACGCTCTAGGGGCTCAGGCAAAAAAAGGTCTTTCCCAACACCTGTTACTTATGATCCTGTAACATAGATGCTAGGAAAAGAAATTGGGACCTTCTGTATGCAAATATTATGCTCTTCCACTGTGCTTTTAAAAAAAACAAACACAAAGCTTCAACTCCACATCATGACAGGCAGGAGGGCACATGCACAGGAAATCTCTGTTCTTTAAAATGAGCTTGCAGTGCTATGACTCTGTCAGAAGACAACAAAACAGTGTCTCCAATTTTAATTTTCTGATAGAAAATTAAAATAAAACAGTATAATCTGATCACTGGGCCAGAGAGACACACTGTGAGGTCTACAGGGCCTATGTGGCTTTGAAATTCAAATTTCCTGTGAAATGATGCCCTAAGTCTACATCTTCCACATGAAAAGCCACAAAACTTGCATAAATACTTCAATCTGTGCACAATCAAAAATATACTGTCCTAATCCATTTCACATCAAATAAATTGTTACTTGTAAGACAGACTCAATAAATAATTAATATGCTAGGCACAGAGTGTAACTCTTACATGCTTTCCCTAAAGAATACCTTAACACTTCTTAGTTCAGCCAAGTGTGGTACACATGTATTTTAGGCACACAGACAAGGTTCAGCCAGATTGAGGTTGATGACACTTTTTCTGTTCTACCTTTATATAAACACACATCTCCCCCCCCTTCACCTCATGTCTCCTAATCAGTGCCATATAAAGAATACTTACGTATACCATGGAATGGTAAAGTTAAATACACATATGCAAACAATTATTTGCATCAATCATGTTTTCCTTTTGCATATTCCAGTTTAACAACTCTGATTCAAAAATGCTCAAACCACCCCTGAATCATGGCCATAATGCCTATTTGTACATTAACCCACTTAAAAATTTTCATGAGTCTATACGTAACAGAGATTTCTGTTCTATTCAAATGTGAAGGACTATGGATCTCACAGTTTCTGTAGGCAGGAAAGCCATTCCCTGGCAATAGAAACCCACATGGGGGAACTCCTTGCTTCTCCCAGCCAATATGTTAACCTTTTTTTCAAGGCAGTTCTCCTCTTCCACAGGCATAGTTCCTGTTCATGAGTACACATCTGAAGTCATCAGTTTTCAGAACGTCTTAGGCTGTAGTACACAGTGGGACTGTCAAGCCTCTAACGCCAATTAACCAGTCACAGAGTATTTTGGGTGGTGTAACAACCACTGGTAGTAGGCAGGACTTCAGTACCATATATGGAGATGGACTGGGTGAGGTGACTGAATGCTCAAAAGCAAAGTTTGGCTTTTATCATGCATTCTAAATAAATCTGCAGTACAAAACAAGATTATAATCATGCACAATGTGTATCATTAAGTTTACTGCTAACCCAACCACGGACCTAATTTTTTCATGGACTGTGGCCTAGTTCATGGTCTGTTTGCCCGGTCCATGCTCTCACACTTTCCAAGGACTGCCCATGGTTTTTCGAGGGTTCATTTGGTCCACAGGAGCGGTCTGTGGAAGTCAACTCAGAAGGCACTTAAATGCCTACAGAAGACATTTAAATGCCTTCTGAGTCCACTTCCACATCGTGCTGCCTTGGTGGTGCAACCCAAGGGAGCTCAGAAGGCATTTAAATGCCTTTTGAGTCCACTTTACATCATGCTGCTGCCAAGCTTCTGTCTACTTCCGCATCGTACCACTGAGGGAGCGACCAGAAGTGTACTAAGAAGGCATTTAAATGCCTTCTGAGCTCCCTCACAACACACTGGGGTGGCGGCACAATGCAAAAGTGAACTCAGAAGGCATTTAAACATTTTCCCTTTAAATGGCTTTTGCAAGCCCCTCCCTATCACAGACCTCACAAACTACAAAGCATTTTGTAAAATGGAAAAGTCCGTGAAAGTCCGCGGTTCATGAAACCCACGAACCTCAATTTTTTCAGTCAGTGCCCATCCCTACTCAAGAACACTAATTGCAGCTCCAACATAGTTAAGCAAAATCTCCTAAGGAGATTTTTACTACTGCATGGTTGAAAAGGCCATTTACCTTTGGCAGGGTGGAAGCTGTGAATCCCTGAGCTTGTCTAACCAAGTCTGGAAAAACTTTCCAGTCCCCAGAGTCAGAAGGTATTTTCCTGTGGTTGTCAGAAGGTATTTTCCTTAGGTTGGGAAAACACCTCTTCCTGAGGTCCTGATCTGAATCAGGATCTGTTGGGCGACAGCTAGGTTGGGAAAACACCTCTTCCTGAGGTCCTGATCTGAATTAGGCCTTCTTTGTCTGTTGTGACCCTGAACAGTTTTAATCTTCTATTGTTTATCATGTTAGTTTCCCCTAGCTCTCCTCACCTGTTCTCCAAAACCTCAAAGTGAAATACATTTATACTATAAACAAGTGTTTCACACTGAGATTTTTTTTTTTATTCCAGACCATTGTACCCCAAAACCTTAATGTTAAATACACTTGTATTATGAAAGTGTCCAGGCATGCCGAGTCGCTCAGTCCAACATACCTTCCTACTCTTCTCAACTAAGCTTGAAGCTTTCCTCCAGGTGAAGTGGCTTTTGCCACAGGAAAATACCTTCTGCCAGAGGAATACTCTTTCTGCCAGAGAAATTTTCCATACATAACTCAGTGGAGTAGTAGCCTATAATCCATCATAAATATATAGTGGTGAATTTTCTCTCTTTTATATGAAAGAATATTAAAAAGCTGGAAGACAATGATGGAGAATGAAGAAACCATAGCTCCCCACTGGGGCCTTTTTCTTCCTTGCTGTCTCTAATTCTTTCCCCAAAACCCTTTGGCAGGTAGTCAGAGTTGTGAACAAAAGCTGCAGAACAAAGCTGGAAGAGATGAATCACCAAAACTTTTGACTATACTGCTTTGGAGATGTTAAAAATGGTCCTTACTTGCAATGGAAACTCCATTTGCTAACCAGTTTATGCTGGGTTTGGGATTGCCATTAGCTCTGCAGATCAAGTTACCATGTTCTCCTGGGGATAACACAAGGTTTGTAGGTTCTCTTATCCAGTAAGGTGCAGCTGATTTTAACAAAAGAATAGAACAATGGTCAATATATACACATAAATACACACACACATATATATTATACATAATAGCATTTTCCAAAAAAACAGGCCAAGATAGTATGGCAGCACAGAACATTGATAGAATTCCAACTGCTTAAGGATATTGCCAGAATATTTACAGTCAGTCTTCTGAGAGATAAAGAAATGCTGTGTGTTTGGTTGAGATTATGAAACTTCACACAAACTAGGATCTGGGGGGTAGGGCTAGTTTTATAAAATTAAAATAAGAACAGGAATAAGTCACTAGAGGTTTGAAAGCTACGAAGCCTAGAAGCAAAGATCCTGGCTATGGCTATGAGCAGCCCTCTAGGGAAATTTCACTGCAAGCTAAATGGCCAGTATTCCCCCGATGAAATGAAAAACAAGTATCAAAAGATATGGGATTGAGGGGAAAAACCCTTTACAGTGAAAAGGGAGAACCAAAGGCTATGGTTATAGACTTAAATTCAGTAGCCTGATGAATAATTCTGTCAGTTGTGGCTTTCATTATCATGGCGTAACTGTAATCAGGAAATCCTAAGGAGGACTAATCGATACCAAGACGCCCAGGCAGAGGAGTGACACTGAATTCACACTGATTTGAACCAACTATTTGAACCTTTGCCTGCAAGCTTATAATAAAATTTACTAAGCTATGACTTACAAATAGAAGTTTCATTTGGCTTTGTATAGAAATGTGTTATACAAAACTGTCAATATAACATTTGCTTCCATTGCCAGTGTGATACAGTAGATACAGCAGAGGTCTCCAACCTTTTTGGGCTTGTTGACACCTTTGGAGCTATGACATGAGGTGGTGAGAGCAACTACAAAATGGCTGCTGCAGGAGGTGGTTCCAACCACAAAATGCTGTCGTTGAAGGTGGAGCCACTTACATAAAGGAAGCCTGAGTGCAGGGGAGGAGAGGGGTAATTTAAAAAATACACTGAAAAAGAGGGGTGAGAGAGAATAAAACAAACACTGTGGTGGCAGCGGCCTCTGAAAATGTTATTTTAATCGGCATCACCGATCATACCTAGAGTGGCCAATCAGAAGCTCTTCTGGGTAAGAGCCCCACTGGCTTTCTAAAAACACTTGGTGAGCACCAAGAAAGGAGTTGGTGAGTGCCATGGTGGCCATGGACACCATGTTGGGGGCCCTTGAGGTAGAGTCAGACTCAGGGTCCAGGAGCCCCAGATTCAACTTCTGACTCAGCCCTGAAGTTCTTGGTTGACCCTGGTCCATTTACATTCTTTCAGTGCAACCTATTTCTCAGACTAGTTATGAAAACATAATTTAAGAGGGGCAAATCATGTACATCTTGAGCTTTTTCTGGAAGGGTAGAATATAAATGTGATGAAGAGGGAAAGCTAAGTTTCATGTAAGTTCTAGATGAGGGGTTTGTCATTCAAAGAATTCTCAGTTATCAGACCTGGAATGAGCTGGAAACATCTCATATGTCTAGTACATTCCAAAGAATCCCTACACAATGCTAAATTATGCATGTTAAGCAGTGTACATCACGTTAACACAGCTATCTTTCTGGAAATACATCAATCTTATGTAAGGTAATTACATCATCTACCAGTATGATGCAATGAAAGGTCTCTATTCCCTTGCTCAAAAGCCAGTCGAATCTGACTCTAGGGTTGCGGTGCTCATCTCCGTTTCAAAGCCGAAGAGCCAGCGCTGTCCAAAGACATTTCCGTGGTCATGTGGCCAGCATGACTGAACACCAAGGCGCACAAAACGCTGTTACCTTCCCACTGAAGTGGTACTTATTTATCTACTTGCAATTTCTTGCTTTCGAACTGCTAGGTTGGCAGGAGCTGGAACTAGAGACGGGAGCTCACTCTGTCATGCGGCACACTCGAGTCTCGAACTGCTGAACTACCGACCTTCCACATCCTGCAGTTCAGCGTCTTAACCACTTGAGCCACCGCAGCTCCACCTATACATGCACAGCATGGTGTAAATGCCAAACTATATTTCTGATCTGGAAACTTGGTAGACTAAGAATCAGTGAACCCTTCTACCTTTTTATATGTCATATACTTTTCCTTCCCTCCCTCTGTGACATACATGGTTCTTCTCTCCTCCATATTACCTTCACAGCAATCTCATGAGGCTGAGAGAGACCCAATAAAGTCACCCAATAAAGTTCAGTGAGTGCAGTTTGATTTTGGGTCTCCCAAGTCCCAAACTACAATCTAATCTCTTTATGGACTACAGTGATTTCTGGTCTTTTTATACACCAACAAGTTGACATAAACTTTACCTTTGACAGTGACTGTAATAACATGATGAGCAGAACCGAATCGATTTCTTGCTGAGCATTTATATTTTCCAGAATCAGCTTCTGTAATATGTATGATTTTGAGGGTTTTTTTAAAATTTTCATATAAAGTTCTATTGGCAGGAAGCTCACCACCTTCTTTAATCCAGTGGATAACTGGTGTAGGTCTGGGGAGAACAACAGCTGAGATTTAAGTTACTGGAATGAGAAGCATATTTAGAAAATACATAAGTTTAATAATTAAAATTTGCATAAAATTATTACTACAATTTAAAGTCCTTTAAAACACTTATTCTAAATTATAAAAGGAAAAACAAAACTGCAATCCCAGTCAGACAGCACAGAAAAACAGGGTTGCCAACAGACCTGGACAAAAATGTTTTGTTAACAGAGACTTTGGCCCCGGTCACACAGGAGGTTTAGGGCCGGAAAAGGGACGGATCGGGGGCGCAGCAAACAGGTGGGATCCCACCGTAACATCTGGGAAGCGGCGCACACCCGTCCCCGATCCGGCCCTTCAGGCCGAAAATGTGCATACAAAAAGAACCTGCTAAAGAGCAGGACTTACCGGAAACGCCGCAGCAAGCGCGGTCGTGGGATCACCGGTGCGTCCGTCGTCAGGAGCATTTGAGGCTCCTGGCCGACCTGTGCATGTGCACAAACATTACTCAATTAACATCAGTCCATGCTTTCCCAACATCATGGAATTCTGGCAAATGTTCTTCTTACATGGGAGAGCAACTGGCCAGACACTTCCTGGGATAAATGACAGGCATGATTCTTGCACTGTTGCGAACAACCTGGAGAAAAGAATGTTTTGCCTCTTTAACAAAGATCTTATGTGTAGAAATGGGCAGTTGAAGCTTTTCGTGGCATGAGGGTAAATAATACCACGTGGCACCAATGACATCCTATTAAACCTCTATTACAGGGAGAGGATTTTTTTCCCTCCAGGCAGTTGGCAACCATACAGGAGAAGTACCTATATAACACAGCGTGTTTTGAAAGTGTTTCGCAGATCACCCTTTAACAGAGACTTCTAGTTTAAGCCAGTGATTGGGGTTCCATGTCTTAATTCCGTGATGCTGGGGCAAGTTCTTCTTTGAGCACAGAGGATTTCTCGCTAAAATGAGGCTGAGTTGTTGTTTTTGAATTCCCAAACCTTTCATGTTATAAGCATACCAGAAACACAGCAGCTGTGATGTTTACTGTTATACCAGCTAGATCAGGTTGCAGTTACATACTTATTTAGTAATTGGGGCATTTAGCATAATCTCATAAACTCCATTGCCTATGCAAAGGTCTATGCAGGATAAGGTTACAAGACAATATGGTCACTATGGCAATCTCACCCTCTTCCCTCACTCATACCCAGGATTTTCCCTCTGTGTTTTTTTTCTTTCTTCCTTTCTAGCTGGGCAACCCATTTATCTATTTTCGCTTTATTTGAAGGTTTATGGCTGTCCTACCCTGTCATGTTATTGTATTTTGATGCTGGCTCAGCCCAGGGACTTGAGGGAAGAGGCAAAATCACCTGCTTAACTTATACTTCTGTAAATGGCACACGAGAAGCTTTTGAAAGTTCAAAATAAACAAAATATTTTATTCCACATGGAGGGGGAAAGGTCAGGTGGAATCAGGGGTAAAATGTCTGAGGTGAATCAATAATAATTCTTAGTAATCACACAGACTTCAGTTAATATGTGTCCAGCAAGTAAGAATTTTAAGCTTTTCACAATGTCTTACAATCTTGGAGATAAGAGGCTTTGGTTTCAGTGTCTGCTGGACACTCCAGTATAAATTATTGAGTTGAAATGCGTCTCTAAGTTTCAGAAGGCAAGGATATACACCACCAAGTACCCCAAATCCTTCTCTTAACCAACCAGGGATCACTCCACTGTTTAGAGTTATTTCCCGTTTCAACTGGACAGGGAATTACTTATCTAAATGAGAAGATCTATACCTTTTTCTGCCCCAAATTAACAGAAGCAGAAGAAGACTTATTTATACAATATTTATATATTTCTCCAGATCCAGTGATTGGAGAAAGAAGTCCTACCCCTTCAAAGGTCGCTCCATGGGCCATAGAACCCCCATGCCATGCAGCTTCAACTGCATACTTCCACACATGGGCATAGTCAGGGCTTTTTTTGTAGAAAAAGCCCAGCAGGAACTCATTAGCATAATAGGCCACACCCAACAGCACAAACTTATTAGCAACAGCACAAACTTATTAGCATAGTAGGCCACACCCCCAAGAGCACAGCTCATTAGCATTTTAGGCCACACACCCATGTCTTCCCTTGGCTTGCCCGGGCAAGTTGGCCCTTGGGACAGGCTGGGGAAGGCACGGGGAGACATTTAAATGCCTCCCCGATTCAGCCCCCCCCGGCCTGCCCACCTCAGAGTCGCCGGGGGGGGCGCTCTCCAGGCCTTCCCTCTGTAGCCACGCATGCAAAGGTTTTGGCTGTAGTGGGCGTGGCCAACATAGTAATCCGGAGGGGGGGTGCTGAATGAGAACAGGGAGTTGACTGACCCCCCACACCACTGTAAGTGGAAGATATGCAGGTATAAGGAGGACTTACACTGTTAGCAGCCACAGGTGGCGCTGTGCTGTGGGGTCAAGCAGGCACAACCACGCCGGCGGCTCAACCACTTGAACCTCTGTGCCCTGTGAACCCAGGGAGTCCTCCTTCCCCAGCATTCTTTCCCACCAGGAATACTGATCTCCTCACTCTGGAAGGGAGCGGCAATTCTGGGGGAACCCTGCATCCCATCTGGAAGATGGCAACCCCAGTAGCTCCCCTCCCTAGCCGAGGCTTCTCTTGGTGGTGGGTCTCTCAAAAGGGTGGGGCACCACAGGGGGAATGGGGCTCTTTCGAGCTGCCCCTAGCAGTGATAAGGACCGGATTCTGCCTCCTTGACTTGCAGCTTCCATTGGCTCACACTGCTCTACCTCTCGTACCACCCCCATCTCGCAACAATGTCGCAAAGGCATGTTGGGGCAGAATCGCCATGGATGCCGCTGTGCCAGCAGCCTGCAGTGCTGTTGGGTCACCTTTTCCCTTGCTTGGTTGCCCAGTAATTAGCCCCTTAGGGAGCCGACTAGCAGCCCCAAGGCTGCAACACGGCAGGCCAGTTAGCAACCTTATTTAAATGTCTCTGAAATTATATATGCATACATTTTGATCTAAAGACTCCCTTCTCACAATCAAGGAGCAACTTTCTTCAATAGGTTTCCTACTACATCTATTTTATCGCAGCCCACTTTTGTAATCTCTTTTAAGGTTTGTACAGCTGTAAGGATTCACAACATTTTTAATTCGATACTTTGTTAAAACATTCTTTAAAATTGCATATAGACATTACTGTTATTGGTGACTGATAATGCAGTCCTTGTACCAATTTGAACTAGCATATACACAAAAGAGCCAGTAGATGCCACTACAAACCCCATCCACAAATGAAACTCAGCAAAACCACAAACCAAAATACAGAGGCTAAGAGCCATCCTGCATCTAGCATTCGCTCCACATTTTCTCAACTGGGAGGGAAAAGTGCAGCTCAAAACCACATTCAGATACCCGGAGGCAACTCCGTACTGACTGCAAAGTCATCCCTGAACGGACATAAAACAGCCATAAATCTATGCAGAAGGTACAATAAAATCTGAGGATCAAAGAACTCGAAAGTGGCATGGAGTGTGGAAGCTACCATAAAACCCAATAATCAAAGGAAGTGAAACTAGCATGCAATGCAGAGGGGAGTTTCTGTTCCAAAGTGAGTTTCGTAAAACAATGGAGGGAAAAGCCAATGAAGAATCAGCCTAAGTATCAGACAGAGGGGAACCTAATGTTTCAGTATGAATGTACTGTAACACCTTTACTCTAGAAAAAACCTTTGTGAGCAAGTAAAGTTTAAACTTACTTCCAAATACGTATTTTAATCTCTGTTCTTATTGAACATCTCTTAACTTTCAGTGTTAGTATGGATGGATTCCCAAGCACAAAATGCATCTGATTAACCTCATATATGATATTACTCTGCTTTTGCATAAGGAATAAATACGAGCAGTGGTTAGGTGTATGCATTCTTTTATGTATGCTTCTTGGTCTTGGACATACTACTGTTCCTACTTCAGAACAGGAGAACAAAATACTTTTGTTTTACACAAGAATATAGCTCAGGCATGCTGGATGGTATCTAGCCTCAAGAAACACAATGACAAACATGTGAGCTGCCACAAAAGATTGGCTGGGTGTAGGAACAAACAATGGGGAAATATCCTTTGGAAACTTTGGTGATGGCTGTCTTCTACTAGCTGTGCAAGCAAGTTACTGGTTATAATCCCAAGAAAGAAGGGGAAGGAACAAATTAGTAACCTATTCAACAATCTTAGGGCCGGATCACATGATATACTGAGAATTCTAGGGAAAAAGCACATGGGTGCTTGATTTGGACTGGGACCACAGGATAAAAGGAGAGAGGTTTAAAGCCATGCTGTTGCCATTTCAAAGTACTGTATAGGATGTTTGTATATTTTCCACAATGAGACAAATAGCAACTTCTGAGGGTTATTTCAAGTCAGGTAAAACCCACTTTCTTGTATGCCATGATCCTGATTTGAATGATGCCCCACATGTCTTTTTTTTTTTAATAGCTGGGAGTCCATTTATGATACTTCTAGTGCCTGGCCCTTAGTTGATACCTAAGGGGCTAACTTCAGATATAATGTCCTTGTGTTCCCACCAGATCATTCTGATCAGATGTTCACTGGGAGTTGCATATTAAAAATCTGATTCCCAGGTACATGGGGTCCTGATTTGGATCAAGAGAGTGGCATGTGAAAATGTACACTTTCACTCTAAAGTGTTTTCCTGACCTGACATGGACTCAAGGACCTTCTACTTTCCCCCCTCTTGGAATACATACATACATACATGTACTGATTGGCCATAGGTAAGTTTTTCCAGCAATACAAATACTGGTCCCATGTGACCATTTCAGGTCAAGAAAATGGTGTGGGGAAGAAGGCCATGCACAAGACCCCAATGCACCTTTGAATTTTTCTGTACCAAACTACAGAGCCCATCTGATCAACAGGACTGGGGTATAGGGACACGAGGTCAAACAAAAATATCAAATACAAGGGCAATCAAAACAACATCCTTTCAACCTTTTCTACATTTACATTGCATGATTATAATGATAACTCACAATCCTTCTGCAATACACTCCAACATAAGGGTGTTTCCTCTTAGCTCTATTTTGCTACTTGTGATTCCAGTAGGAGTCAGAAGAGTTGGTCGTCTCTCTATGTATTCCGTGGCTGAAATTAAATAAAACGGTATTTAAAAGTACTAACAATACAGATCTAACTCCAAATCAATAGTAAATCCTCCCGTACATTATAAATGGATAATGCATCTAATACTGTCAACCTTACATATTCCAAAATACAGGTATCTCAGACTATAAGAGTTTCAGTTATGCCTTTTTTTAACTACTCCACAAATATTTGTCTGAAAATTTAGCAAAATATGATAAGAAAGAGGATGTGTTAATATAATAGAACCCTATCCTATTATAAAAAATTCTTCCCACAAAAACCAAGTTGTATCTTTTGAAACTGTAGTGATTAGACTGTACATTCATCAACTATAGGTGCTATCCAGAGATACTGTAATCGGTGAAGGCTTTCCACTGAAATTGAAGAACATATAGGATGGACCCAGGGAAAGAAATTCCACTTGCACTAGAGCTCATGTGCAAGTGGAAGCAGCCGTACTCAGCCCGTCTTGTAACGCTTCCCTCCCACGTTTAAAAAGTACGTGGTGAAAGTGGTAGCAAACCCTGGTGAGCACGTTCATCCTGCTTCCCAGAAGTGTGAACGCCGAAAGCTGCAATTGCTGATACACATAAGCACATATCTCCAGATTACCAAAAAGAAAGCCACACCTTACAGCCTTCGCCAGGGGCGGGCCAACAGTGTGAACGCTCCCATGTGCCTCCTCCCCGGTATGCTCCCGCATCAGTCGGTACAGTGTGACTGGGAATACCCGGAACAAGTTGTTCCGGATTTTTTTGCCACGACTCTCTCGCACTTCAGACTGCCAGTCTGAACTCAGCCATTATATTACTGAAAGCAATCCTTTAACTTTCAGCTTGTATCTTCCACAGGTTCCTATGCAGACACAGAGCTCCAGTGAAAACCAATATCCCCATTCTTTTCAGTTAAGCACATATACTGAACCACCCACTCCTTTAAAGTGAACGGGGAATTGTACAGTTCCTAAGGAGCCAAAATACTTACGCTTCCATAAGCTTTAACAAAAATTGCAAATAGGATACACTGTTTTATGAAAATCAAAACAAAGCAGTAGAGATCAGTTCAGTCTTGTAATTTACCAGGTGCCTGCTTATCACTGTCATGCAATAACTATTGCTAAATAACCAGAATATACAAACACACATACTTTCTCTCTCTCCTTTATATGAAAGAACCATTAGCTCAGCTAAAGATGAGCAACAAAGATCCCTTACATGCAGCTCCTATGACAATGTTCTGCACAGCTCTTTCACTCACTTCCCTCTCTTCGGAAACAAAATGCACAAGGGCAAAATGTCTCTATTCACTTTGGATTCACTTCTAGACCCAAAGCAAGACTCAGCAAGTAATTTGTCCCTGGCTGGTCCAACAGCAAATGCACAGTGCTGTTCTAAGCAGTGTTACATCCTTCTAAGTCCATTGCAGTTACTGGGCCAAGGGAGTGTGCAAATTCTGCTTAGGGTGGCACTAGCAGGGAATGATTTTGTCACCCATCCTTTGTATTACAGCTGCTGGGTTTAGTGGTTCCCAGACTGTACTCTGTGACCCATTCTGCATCTAGCATCTAGCATTCACTCTGCTGTTTTATGGGAGCCGCCACACTGCATGCTGGTTTCATTTCCTTTTATCTCTCTGTTTTATGGTACAGCCTGCATAGATTTATGGACGTTTTATGGCCGTTCAGGGGTGACTCTGCAGTCAGTATGGCATTGGCTTGGAGTATTTGAATGTGGTTTTGAGCTGCACCTTTTTCTGTTCCAGTGTGGGTTTGGTAAACTAACGGAGTGAATGCTAGATGCAGAATAGGCCTATATGGTAGTGTGTGGGAGATTCCATATCTAGCATGCAGTCCATCTTTTCTCAACTGGGTGGAAAAAGTGCAGCTCAAAACCACATTCAAATACCTGGAGGCAATGCTGTACTGACTGCAAAATCACCCCTGAATGGCCATAAAACGGCCATAAATCTATGCAGAAGGTACAATAAGATCTGAGGATCAAAGAACTTGAAAGTGGCATGGAGTGTGGAAGCTACCATAAAACCTGATAATCAAAGGAAACCAGCATGCAATGCAGAGAGGAATTTCTGTTACAACATGGGTTTTGTAAAACAACAGAGGGAAAAGCCAATGCAGAATCAGCCTGTAGACAAGAACTAATGAGTGTTTCTGTTTGTCTTGAGCCAGAGAAGGGAGAAGGGAAAATGTGAGCCACTCGGCATGGGATGGGTTGATAAATTATGTATATTCCTATAAAGCATTTTTGTTTGTTCTGCAAATGTTGCACAAAGTGATTTGGGTATACATTATTGGGAAGTACAACTGTACAGCCAAACCCACAGCAACATAGTTATGTTAATAGTGTAATGAAAATATCGACCTTATAAAAGACTAGGGAGAAGAGGGAAACGCATTAGACATTTGTGCAGGTATATGAATGTTGAGCAAATATATATTTTCTAGGACTTTTACATTTAAGTCAATTAATTTTTATGCTGCATATTCAGCAAGGTGTAAGCAAGATGAGAATCTGTTAATTCTGTACAGCCTGTGATACAGCGTGCACTAGTGGCTAGTCCCAGTGATAATGAATTGTCAGCTAATTCAGACAAAAAGCAATGAAGTGCATAAAAATTAACAAAACAGCAACATGGATTCATTCACAAAAATGTTACGATGTTTTACATGCAAAAGATTCTGTCGTTACTTTTAAATAAAGGTTCATTCTGTACAATTAATTTGTATTATCACTAGTGCTAATATGTAGCTCTAGTAGAATTGTAAGGGCAGTAAAGTTAGGCAGCCATTGAGTGAAGTTAGTTAACTAAACTCTACGATGAAAAGAGGAATGCCAGAGTGGATCTCTAAACTCACCACCATAAAAATCAGAGTCACTCATATTAGCAGCTATAGTTTCATTCAATGAATCCACTGAAATAGACAGAATATCATGAAGAATGCAGCTAGGCAGTAATAAATCTGGCCTTTAAATGTTAATCCATATATCAAAATAAAAAGAAGATATAACATACACTTATTAATTAGGGTTGCCAGCTCTGGGTTGGGAAAACCTGGAGATTTGGGGTGCAGCCTGAGGAGAAAGGGGTTTGGGGAGGGAGGGACTTTAATAGATTATAATGCCATAGAGTCCACCTTCCAAAGTGGCCATTTCTCTCTGTCACCTGAAGATCGGTTTTGACCCTAGGAGACCTCCAGCCACCTGGAGGCTGGCAACCCTACATTAACACACTGGTCACTAGAAGCTTTGCCTTTGTCCACTTATTTTAATTATCTGTCACATTTTTAGTAGAAAATATACAGAAGAGTAGAAAACATACAAAAGTGACACTCAAGGTTGCAAACCTGTTATTGTTTATTGTGCCATCTGTTGTTTTTCTGGTTTTATCACTTTTATTGTTTTATGAATCTTATGTTGTAAGCTGCCCTGAGCCCACTCATGGGATAGGGTGGGGTATAAATTAATAATCGTGATAATAGTAATAATATAGGGTGCATAAATCCCACTGAACTCAGCTAACTAACTACAGGTTGCCAGCTAACTTCAGCATGTACTATGTACCGTGTTGTGTAAAATACTAAAAATCATTTTCACTGTTTCCCCAAATATTACGTTTAGGTAACAGACATAGGAAAACATAATACTGCACAAACTAATTTAGAAGAATTAATACCAACCTGGTTCAACCTTTAAAGAAATGGGTTGCTTCTGTTGAATAGTCTGTGTGTGATTAAATCTTGCATAACATATATAATCTTCACGTGTGTCCTCTGGTTTTACATTTGAAAAATAAAGGTCTCCATTTAGACTTTGGGAAACTCTATCATTTTGAGGCAGCTTTTGAAAAGCTGAGTGGGGAAAAACAAAAAAATATTTATAGTGCCACTAAGTAACAAAGGGCTGTTTCAAAGACATCAACTAACTACTCTTTCTCTGGGTAGTACTTCCTTTCACAAGATGACATGGAGAAAGCTCAGGTGTTGTAAAATGAGGGCCGACCCCAGGATCGCCAGGTGAAGTAGAGACAAGTGCATGCTGCACATCTACAGGATGAAAGCTGATCCCCCCCCACCCACTTGCAATAGATGTGCAGCCAGCCCTCCCCGGCACCGGATCCATAGGGCTCCACACTATTGATCAAGAAGGGGAGTGTGTGGTTATTCAGACCACGAGCTCACCCGGCCTCTAGAGATGACCTCGACCAGCTGCCGCTCGTCCGCTCCACCTGGCTCCTTCTTTCCTCCCAGCCTGAACCAATGGAAGCCCCCACCCTCTCCAGCCCAGTAGCATCTCTGCAGGCTGTGCTCCCATCTGACAAGGCCACGTGGTGCGGCCCAGGGCTGAGGCAGTGTAGATATTCCAAATGAGCTATCTGGCATCAAAAGATGTTAATTGGGGGCAATACAGCACCCTAATTAGCCATGGGATGCCCCCGCCCCTCTGAACACCCCAGGGCCAGCTGATAGGGTTGGTGTCAGGCTGGGTGGTCCCCAGTTTCCCACACTTGCCCCTGGCCTGCCCCTTCCTCCTGGCAAGGGGTTGCAGTGGCTGCCTCACTCTCACCCCTCCCCGCAGCACTACAAATAGGAACCAGGTGGCTCCAAGACCCAGCTAAGTGGGACATATATTGAGACATCTCAGCCATTTCTGTGATGACAACTACTACCAAACAACCACAGAACTTTCACAAAAATAGCTGTAGGCTGTCTCAATGTATGTCCTATTTCACAACAAGAACAAAACCCCACGTTACTTATATGAACTGTCCAACACAGAAATGTCCATAAATTGCTCAATGAGACTATACAACTAAATGCGCAGATACACAATGTCCACCCTCTAATTTAAGTCCCATTTAAGGTTTAATTTTTTTAGCCAATGTTAAACTCATGGCTGTCCTGTTCTTTAACACATTTCACTTCATATGACACTGTTACATTCCTAGCCATAATACAGAAGAATATTGTTACAATTATTTATTAAAGCTACCTAATTCCTGCAATTTTCTAATGGCTTTGCCATGTCCACCCAGTTGTATAGTCCCTCCTCATACATCCATTCTACTATTATGACTTAAAGAACAAGCAGGACTTTGCAAATACAGGGTGGGTTCTACAAAAGGGTTAAATACAGAATGTGGGTTATTCCCAATATCTGTGGAAGTTTATGCCATTTTTATTGCTTGTCATTCCACTGAAAGGGTAGTTAGGATGACATACGATGACTACTGCCCCAGCAGTATGTCAGAATGTGTTTTTGCAGTTATGATTTGAGCCAATACTCATATCACACTGTCTCAGCAGTTGGATCAGTAATACCATAATGAAAATGCCTGTGAAAACTGGCAAATAACAGAAAGGTATTAACATACAAATAGGTTGAGTAGCTTCATGACAGGAGAAAGAAATTTGGAGGTATAACTAGGGCTTTTCCCCCCAGAACCTTTTCAACAAAATTCTTTTTAAAATGTTTAAAAGTTCATGAATTTTCAGTATACAGATTGAAAACTTTATTTCCCTCTTGAGAGTTCCGGCACCTCTTTTTCAAAAACAAAAACAAAACAAACAAACCCCTGGGTATAACCATGTGCCATCATGAAGAAATTTCAGACACAACTAGCAAGAGTTATCCAAACACAAATCAAATGAAATAATATGACTTTTGTTTCAGTTCTTTATGGATTTTAAACATAAACTTACAGTTATCCATCCAAAATATTATAGGTGGAGGTAATCCCATTGGAGCCCTACAGGGGAGTATTACGTATTGACCTTCGATTACTCTTATTGGAACTAAGGTTTCCTTAGTCCACAAGGGGGACCCTGTAGAAAAATAAAAATAAGTGGAACTGCTCAATAAGGAATGAGGTAATTACCAAGGAAAAAATGGAACAAAATGTAGTACAAAAACTGCTGTCTCATGAAATTTATCACTCTTTTGTATGAACATATTTCAAGTAGCAACGTTTTCCAGGGGAAGTTAGAGGAAGTATACTCTGTTAACAATTTAGTTTCCAAATGCTAAGTAAAAGACAGAAAGGGATTCTTGAACTTTCCTAAAATATACGGAACAGTATGTTGGATAATGTAACCCTGGGTAATGCAAAAAAGCAACTCAATTTAAAAACTAGTTTAAAAAGAGAAAGGATAATGAATTCCCAATGAGACACTGCAGGCAGGAACAAAAACTGGAGATAGATTGGGGGGGGGGAATTATTCTATACTCTTAAATTCTACTGGTTTTAATGCAGATTGCTACTATAAACAGAACATCAGTCCAAGTGTTTTCAACATATGTAGTTGGATCTCCACATTGCACATAAGCTTAGCTTTGATACAATTTCATATGGTGTCATAATTAAGGACATTCTGTTGAAACGGCTATCACAGGACATGCAAGGCAGAGATGTTCCACCAAGCATATGGTTGAGGACAGGAATGGTTTTCAGCTATTTTTACTAGTTTTAACATCAATCCAGCTCATTAACCACTTTCTACCCTCTCCCCCAGCGTCAATAAATTGGGGACTAGAAATCTTGTCTCGGTGGTAAATATTAGGCTATGATTGCTAATTTTAGATTGTTTTAATGTATCTTATATGACTTGGTTGTGCACCGCCCTGAGCCTGCTCACAGGGAGGACGGTATAGAAATGTAATGTATCCCATCAACAGCACTCCAGAGAACACATCAGAGATGAAACCATCAGGCACAGTTCAGATGTAATACTTCTTGGCTTGCTGTTGCATAAATGAGTCCAGAGTATCCTTAGGCTCATGTCTTTCCTTCTACCTTCCATCTTCTCCCATACTAAATCAAGTTGATGAAATAATTCTGGACCTATGTCAAATCATAGTTTGTTATTATCTCCAAACTGCCATAGATGGTTTTGTTTCCTCCAAACCAGGATTCCAGATGCTAGACTGATTATGCTTTGAAATCTTGGTTGAACAGGAAGAGGGGAAATCATATTTTGTGCTTCAGAGGTAAAGAAAAGGCTTAGCCTGTGTGAAAGTAGACTTGTTTAGTTATCAAACCATGCATGAGTGGATGGGGAAGATAAAAGTGGGAAGGAATACGCAGTCCACAGGATTCTCCATGTTCATTCAAATAATGGCAGGCTGTGGTTTATAAGTTTGGGCTCCCAACCCTCCCAGCAAGGCTGATATAGGGCGGGGGCCATTTTGCCACCCTGGAGAAGAGTGGGACAGCAACTGCATTGTGACACCATGTGTCGCAATGCTGGGCGGGGCCGGGGCCAGCCTATAAAGGCCAGGCCCCGTTCCAGCCCAAGCCAGTCATTGCCTTGTACTCGGGCCTCTCGGAGCTCCGAGCACTGTTCCCTCTAAGCTGAGTTAGTGTGAGCTAGCTCACAGTTTTTTAGCTTCCAGCTCACACATTTTTCTCTTAGCTCAGGAAGGATGGCTCCAGAACAAACTAATTTATGCAGAAGCCAAATTGCTTGCTCACAACTTTAATGCCAGTAGCGCACAAAGTAGAATTTTTGCTCACAAGACTACACAGCTTAGAGGGAACATTGGCTCCGAGCATGCTGGTTGGGACGGGGCTGCAGCCTACCTGTAGGCCTGAGACCCGAAGACAGGGCTCCAGCATTGGAGGCTTAGGCATGGTGAGCCGAGTACAGCAGCGGAGGCAAAGGCCACATCGGCCCCGTGGGCAAGCTGGGTGTGCGGCCATGGCAACGGCTGCAGCAGCCCCGCATCTGAGCGAGGTGTGGCAACGGAGGCGTTGGTTCGGCAGCTGCAGTGGTGATCACTGTGGTGGCAGTGATCGGCAGCCAGTTGGTGGTGCCCAGCAGAAGTAGCAGCATCGTTCGGGGGCTGGACTCTGGGGCTGTGCGGGCGGCTGAGTGGGAGCCATTAAGGTGGTGCAGCATGTCTGGGGGCCTCAGTAGTTGCCCATTCAGGGGGTGTGAGAATCATTGGGCAGAGGCAGCATTTATGGCCTTGGGTGCCCAGGAGGTTGTCTGGAGGGCTGCTACTGGGGGGGTGATTTGGGCAGGCCACAGCAGTCAGGTGGTTGCTTTGGATGCCACTAGTACTTGTTTGGCCTGCTGGGCATAAGTGGCACATTAGGCCCCTTTTTTGGTCTGCCTCCCCCCCCCCATTTTTTTTTGTTGTGTGGGGTGGCAGCTCTGCTGTAGAACACCCCCCCCTTTCTTCAATCTACAGGGATCATGGGTCTCAAGAAGGCCAGAGCCCTTCTAAGGTTAAGCAGTCCACCTCCCAAAAGTCACCTCAGAGGCCTGTGCCTCCAGTCTCTTCCATGGATGACGAATCTGACCCTGTTAATGTTGCTATATTGGCAAGGCTTGAGGCCCTTGTAAAAGCAAAGTGGGAGGCCTCCCCCACTGGCTGAAGCTCCACCTGGAGCTAAAAAGGCTAAGCACAAATCTGCTACTTCATTCCAGGCACAGGTTTTGGCACGTTTGGATATGCCTCTGCAGCGAATTCAGATGATGCAGCAGCTCAAGGGCAGCAAGGTGGTGGTCACCAGGGAGATGAAAGTGTGGAGGGCCAGCAACTAGAGCTTTACAAAGGACCCCTGTCTCAGGAAGGTAAGGAGGGTAATCACTCTCAGAGTTCAAGCGCTTGGCCATGGGGCTCCAGTAGGCAGAGTGCCTCTTCCAAGCAAGAGTACTCATTCCCAGAGTACAGGGGCATCCTCATCTCCATGAGGGTGGCCGGGCCTGCCCCCCCCCCCCAGATGGTGGGGCATGTAACAGTACCAGTGCCTGGCTAGGGGGTGGTCTGGCCCCGTCTTAGGCAGTTATACTTACGAATAGGTTCCAGCAAAAGCACTACCAAGTGGGGACTTAGCGATGCCCTTAGCGATGCCCTTTCTTTAGCCACATGGGAAAAAATTCTCAAGGGTGATTACATGGATGTGTTCACTCTTCTATTTATTTATGGTATTGGGGGAAAAGATAAGGAGGCTTCGGACAAATGTGACAAAGAGTGCCTTAAAAGATGCAGAGTGGACAGGACCTGGGCCAATTGGTACTCGGGGTTCCTCATTTATACAGGGGTAATAGTGCGACATCAGCCCTGGAGAGCATCATCTATGCTGCAGTATATGGACATCATATACAAGGAATATACTGGTTTTATGGGGTCTGCTTGGATGGAATATGATGAGGGTTTCCGTAAGTGGGCTGCAATGAACCCAGCATTAAGGTGGGACCAGATACACCCTCACTTGTGGTTACAATTTATGGCTGGATCCTAGCCAACAGGCAGTGATCATTCTGACAGTGAGCACGTGGTCCACAGGCTGCAGGGACTGCCTAGTTCTAGGGCCCAGTCAGTGCAAGCTACTCAGAAGTGCCCACTTTGTTGGGAATTCACGTTGCAGGGGACATGTGGCAGGAAGGTTTGTTCCTTTCAGCACAAATGCCCCTTGTGCACAGGGCCTCATGCGTTCTCAGGTTGTCCCAAAGCAAGGGTTAGATCAGGTCCATGTGGGGGGAAAGGAGCAGCTGAAGGTTGGGGCCATAACACCGCTGCTGACAAAGGGCCCCAGTCCCATTAGAGTGGAGAAGATGGCGCACCTCTTACAGTACTATCCTGACCTGCAAGATAGAAGTTACTTGTTAGAGGGGTGTATTTTGGGTTTTAGGATACCTTTTCAGGGCAACAGGAGGCCATATTGGGCTCCTAATTTGAAGTCTATTAAGGGGTTTTAAGAAATTGTGAGGCAAAAAACTGCAAAAGAGTGTCAGGAAGGGAGAGTTCTCGGCCCATTTCCTTCATCTCCTGTACCCAATCTGAGAGTCTTCCCATTGGGAGTGGTGCCCAAGAAGGCCGCAGGTGAGTATTGCCTCATTCACCATTTGTCCTACCCAAAGGAGGGGATCTGTGAATTATGCGATACCTGGGGAATTATGCTCGGTTAAATACACTTCCTTTGATCAGGCCATGTGGGTGGTGTGGAGTTGTGGTTGCAGGGCTGAACTTGCTGAATGCTCCCTGTTCACCCTGGGGATTTTGAGTTATTAGGTTTTGCATTTGAAGGGAAGTTTTACGTGGACAGAGCCCCGCCCATGTGTCACATTTGAAAAACTTAGTTCCTTTTTGGAATGGGCCATGCCCTTTCAGATGGGCCTTGGTAGCACCACACATTACCTTGATGATTTCTTGTCCGCAGGTAGAGGCAGTACTGGCCAGTGCGAATTTTTACTTTTTAGTTTCATAGATTTAGCATCTGAACTTGGCGTCCCCCTTGCTCATGAAAAAACAGAAGGCCCCTCCTCTGTTTTGACTTTTTTGGGTATTGAGATTGACACGGGGAGGCAGATATTGAGGTTACTGGTTGATAAGCTGCAGGAGTTGCAGAGTAATTGCCAGAGCCACACATCACAAAAAGATACCTTTGTTGGAATTACAATGGCTGGTGGGTCACTTTAACTTTGCTTGCAAAGTTGTGGCCCTGGGCCGGTCATTTGTCCGGCACCTCTGTGAGGCCATGAGAGGATTGTGCCTCCCAAATCATAGGACTAGGGTCACTAGGGGTATTAGGGACAATCTTTTTGTGTAGCAGGAATTCCTAGAGTCCTACAAATGGGTATCCTTCTGGCGGGAGGTAAGGGCAAGTCTGTGTGTTCTATTAGGGGCAATTTGTCATCCCTCGCCTACGCCAGTAAGGCAGCAGGATACGAGGACATGACTGGAGACTTTTGCATTAGGAAGATGCTGGAGGGTTGGGCCCATGAGGGGAGTAAATCTGAGGAAAAGCAGGAGCCTTTGACTCCTGCCATTTTCAGGGGCCTCAGGGCCTTGTGGCCTAGTCTTTGTAAAGACAAAT